GTCAATCTGCGAACTGAAGAGCCACACGTTCGGATACGCAATAGTAAACTTAAGTATTAATCCTGGATGGAATTTCTATGAAGCGCTGTATGCTTAGTTTTATAAAAAAAAATGATTTGACAAAATGATTTGACAATATATTATTGGAAATGAAAATGTTTATTTATGCAACGCACAGTTTTTTTTATCTCTAATACAAAGAAAAATGTAAGATCAAAACATTTTAATTTTAATATTTTAACACACACATGCATATACACACGTACGTACATACCATACATACATACGTACGTACATACATACATATATACGTACGTACATACATACATACATTTATACATGCGTTCGAACATACCCAAAAAGCACATAAACAAACACAAACATATACATACACATACATACATGTGCAACACACCGAAACGCAAGACGAGAAATTCATACAATAAACGATTTCCTTGCATTGTTTTACATCTGCTAATGTTGTCAGCAAAGCAATTACATCGCATGTCATATCGTTGTTGGCTTGTTCAGTAGCTCATTCAATCCTTATCTCAATCAACCCATTTTCAGAGTAACAAAAATTATCGACATAGAAAATTTTTTGTTACTCTCATATATTTTCATTCCTTAATTTGTTGTTTTGTATTTAGCGTGGCCGTGGTGATCAAAAAGATTTGTCTTGTTGAGTGCCGACGATGCGCCTTTCTTAACTAATGCATTGTTCACTCTACCGTTGTTATAATTTTTGTTGGTATTATTAATGTTATTATTATAAATATTATTATTATTATTTTTTTATCCTATTATGATGTTTTAATACTGTCTTGCATGTTGTAGCAGGTTTTGCGTCTGTCAGATTTTATGAAGAATAAAAAATATTATCTTCAATACTCTTTTTGCCATTATTGCATTAATTTTTTCTCTTCAATGTGAACCGCTGAACATCGCCGTACTAGTTGGAAGACACGAAGAATTTAAACAGTCAAGTCTGTAGACATAATAAATATATTTTATATATGTACAACATGTACAATGTTCTTCTATTTGTTCTTTATTATTTGATTGTTTTTCACACGTTGTTGGCGACATAAATGCATCAAATATTGTTGGGTTGGAATGAAATTTTAAGCCTCTAGGTTGCAGGAATAAACTACTAATAATAATGTGACAATAGTTAATTACGAATAGTTCCTGCTTAAAATTAACTATTCATTTTATTTTTTATCTCTATATTTTCATCATCGTTTAGTTCTTGAAAAGTTTTGAACTTCTCTTATTTCACAACAATTTTTTTATTTGCTGTAAACTTTTTAAGTTGTCATTGTTTGAATTTACTTATAAAATAAAACGACAGTACACGTGGATACATTTCATAATGTCATTATTTAGTCCAACATTTAGAAATCAAACTGTTTCATTTATAACAAATTTTCAATCAATTCTGATTTGCAGATGCGATCAATAAGTAGCAACGAGCCGAGGTCATTTTTATTTTTCGCGCTATTGAACCCTGCGACGACGGGAAATTTTTGTATCAATTGAGGACGAATAGACAAAATTACTACTCCAAGATAATAATCCTCTCTTTAGCATTCCTCCGAGGTATTACCTGCAAACACACGCAGCATGTAAACTAACGTGATTCAACGCATCCCACACTTTTGCCTGTGAAAGACGACGATCTCTTCGCAATCGAACCCACTCACTGCATCATCAAAGCCAAGAACCTTAACCATTACACCATCGTGCCACCCAACATCAGCAGATTGCAGTAACCAGATAACTGATGAAGAACTTTGAGGGGATTTGTATAACACTAATTGTTCCAGTTGTTAGCAGCATTCATTTGAGCTTCTTTATATGCCCTATTGTCGACTTCCTCACCTGACTCATCAAAATATTTGTTCATACCAAAGTCATACCCTGAACCTGTAGACAAATTTTCAATCTTTCAAAATTTTCACTTAGCAATTTATATTCCTTTTAAAAACCATTTAGTCGCAACATCTTCTGATTTGACACTAAAACTTACAAAAACTTTCCATTCCACTAGCCTGTAACGCATAGGACGCCTAAAATATTTTGGAGTAAGTAACAAAAGTTCTTAACAGACAAATACTGCTGCACAAATCTACTTTCCAGTTGTTAATTCATTTCGACCAAAACAATTAAAAAACATTCATATATAATTTTATTTTATTAAGCCCTTCCCTGCAATGCTCAATAAACATTTTCTTTTTGGCACGGCACTTTTCAAATTTTAATTCAAGGCTGATATTGTGATCTGTTGCAAATACTTTATTGACTCAGATCCGTGTAATATCCAAAGCAGAAGAAGTTGTTAGAAGAAGAGTTTGAGAAGAACAATTTTTTGGATGTGAAACGCAGAGAAAGAATTTTTGAAAAAAAAACGGTCTAGATGCCAGGCAGTTTCGCTTCTGGTTTCAAAACAGACGGTAAAAAAAAATTGACTAATTCTAGGTAATCTCTTTGAAAAGTTTAACACATACTATCTCAAAGTAAATTATAGTTTCTAATGTTTTTAACTAACTGAAGTGGTAGTAGTAGATGCTAGAAGTATGACTAAAAATTTTTTTTGGCAATTTTTGGTTTCCCATGCTACTATGAGTGGAGAAATTACATTTTAAAACTGGAAATATAATTTGAAAGTGTTGAATCTTAAAAAAGTTCACCCCCCTAAGCTGAAAACCGTTTTCTCCCATCTATCTATTGTTAGATACAGTACAGTTTAAGGTATCACAGCTTCAGTTTATTGCTGGTGTGATTTTGCTATATGTATGCATGCTTATTACATAATCTTTCATATTATATATTATATTTGTTATCATCACCTGACTTTTGATATTTTATAAACTTATTTTAATAACCTAAACTCATAAGATTTGTTTATTTGTAAATAATTAAATTTACACTCAAATTATAATTCGACAAGACTATAGTCTGGATGTCTAAAAATAGTCTTTTTTCAGATTTGAATAAGAAACTATGGGAATCAAATTTGGTGAGATTTGAAACAGCCAAGAGTTCAAAAAAGTATGCAAAGATTGTTGACAGTCTTGAGCAAATGAGCAAAATGCCAACAGAACAGCATATCCTGGACAGATGTAAGTGTTTGGCTGCAAATGTGAAAAGTAGACAGGAGAAAGTTGTGATAGTGGTCCAAGAAGTAAAAATCTTATGGAAAAACTGAATTTTCCAATTCAAAAAGGCAAATCTACAGTGGAAAGAAAAATTGAGAATGTACTAAACAAGTATGAAAAAGACAGCAGAAAACCAGGAACGCAAGACTTTACCAACTTGTTCAACGTAACTGATGAAAATGGAGAATAGTTGTGTAGGAAAATAAAGCCCTCTATAATCTTCAGATGTCAACAAATGGTAGAGCTGGCTACTGCACCACAATTGAAGATACACAAGGAGTTCATCCTAGAAAACTAAAGTTGATTAAGCATAAAGTCAGTCAAGATACTAAGGATGATTTAAACAGTGAAGATGAAGAACAGCAAAGTCAGTCAAGATACTAAGGATGATTTAAGCAGTAAAGATGAAGAACATTTTAACAATGAAGAAGAAAAACAAGATTCTGACAGTGGTTCTCAAGATTCAGATGCTCTGAAGGAAGAAGAAGAAATTGTTTAAAGAGATGATATGGCTTTCCTTCATCACTTGTTACAGACAGTTTAAGAAAACAGGATGCTTCCCTAAAGTAAATTTCCGAACTTTGCCAAATATAAGCAATGCAAGATAGAATAGCCGAGCAATCTATGCTTTGCTAACTTATATTTTACTTCCAGAATTTCGACAGTCAGCCAAAGGTCAGTCATCATGTGACTTTATTACTGGCACGTGGAGTGACATCTGGTTTTCTGGTCAGGTTTATAATCAGGATAACTACACAAATTTGGCAGCCGTTTGCAAAGATCACTCAAAGACAATAAAGACTTTAAGGACTTTTTGGTCGGTTGAGCCGACTCCAATCTCAACTCAAAGGTCAAACATTTGTGCTGAACGTGCAATTAAAGTTCTGCAGGATTTACTTCTATTGCGCAAAAGCATTGAAAAAATTAACATTAAATTTCTTTTGACAAATGAACACTAAAACCTGTATGTTTGTATTTCTGATTAAAAAAACTATTTTGTACAATGTATATATAAATTTAATTAAGGGGGTGACATTTTTTTAAAGTTGACACTTGCCATTGGATTTTTCTTGATCTTTGCATTAAAACTCCACAAAAAATAACATGGCGATAGGGTCTTTAAAAATTGTCATATCCCTAGTAAATGCAGAAATAACAGTAGTGAAAGAAGCAGTAGCAGTCAAAGTATCAGACTATTAACTGTAACAATAGTAGTAGAGTAGTAGTTGTTGTAGTATTAGTAAAAGTAGTAGTAGTAGTAGTAGTAGTAGTAGTAGTAGTAGTAGTAGTAGTAGTAGTAGTAGTAATAGTAGTAGTAGTAGTGATAATAGTAGTACTAGTAGAAGTAGTTTTCTAGTAAATGGAATTCAATACTTATATTTTTTAATTATTTGTATATCTAATTTTTTACCAACAATTATATTTTTTATTTTAATTATTTAATATTATTGGGGCATTGAAACGTAACGTAAATTATAAAGAAAAAAAGGATAAAATATTTTACTTTAAAGCATTAAGAGGAATAAAACTTTGTAGACTGTAATTAAATTATGGCGATGAGATGTAGCAGTTACTGGTTTCAAACGCAGAGATCCCCGCTTATCGCTGGCATTTATCAACATGGCTGACCGAACTCTTGTTGTTAACGAGGTTTTGTGTTATATTCAAAATAATTTAGAAAACGATTGTGATAATAATTTTGTAGATGCTACTGCAAACTTTTATTCAACGGAAAACTAGTATTAGCAAAAACGGTTAAATTCTGATTTAGAAAATATAAAATTTGATAGAATAAAAAGTTTGGTTAAAGGTTCGTCAAAATATGACAAAGTTAAAAAAATGTTGGAAGTTTTGAAAACTGTATTCGAAATTAAATTAAAATATAAATTACCTGATTGTGCTGCTACTGCTACAAATTTGTCAAGGATTCCGAAAACACTAGACGGTTTGCGTAATTTAGTGAAATCCAGATTTAAAGACTTAAATATAAATGTTAATAATCTATAAAATAATTTAAAAACTGTCGAAGACTTAAACAATAAGAATAGTGTAATATCGTACAGCAAACAGTGTGTCTGATACAACTTACAATTGGGCGACTAACTCGCTTGATACATACTCTGCCTCTAAAAAGAGTGTATGGGCTGACGAAACAGTGAACAATGTAATACCAGATAATTTTTCACTTGCTTTGAATTTAAATGAATTTAAAACCGTTTTGAATAAAAAGGAAATGAAAAAAATAAATTAGAATGCTAACTTGATGATAGATAAAGTGCATGTAAATACCATGGATAACAGCAAAGGTAGTATTAAATCTAATAAATTAATCACAAAAATTGTTGGCCAAAAATAGACAAAGATTCTAGGCTTCAGGCAAACAAAGAGTTGATAAAAAACAGTTTTCTCTATCAGCAATATACGTTTGTGTCATGCTGATGATGTCAAGGAATATCTAAAGTCAATGAGATAATCTAGTTTCACACATTAAAATAAGCAAATACTGTGAAACTTTACGAGAAAAGATGGTACAACGGAATGTACAAGAAAGGGCGCAGAGTCCGCTGGCAGTATTTCGAAAGTTTTGTAGTTTGATTGCGCACTCAGTAATTTCTAGCGTAATAAATAATTTTTTTTATATCGTTAAACTAGGAATGAATAAAATGTCATCTGACCAGCTTGTATATCCTACTACAGCGCAGTCAAGGGCGGAGTATTCGGAAATGTATGATATTCATCATGAGTTTTTACAACACCTCGAAAAGGAGAAATGGATTGAAAACGTTTGTCGTCGAAAAAAATTCAACTGAAGCTTGCAACTCAAATCCTACCAAGGATAATTTAATGAATCTTCCGGATATTTTGAAAAATCTTCCGGATGATTAGAAGGATTTTCCTGATGATTTGAAAAATTTTTGGAATGCATGGCAAACCTACACAATTAAAAACATGTAATTTCATACAACAAAAACCAGCAAGCATGCCGAATGTATATAATGTCATCTGACCAGCCTGTATTTCCTACTACAGCGCGGTCAAAGGCGGAGTTTTTGAAAATGCATGATTTTCATCAAGAGTTTTTACAACTCTTCGAAAAGGAGAAATGGATTGAAAATGTTTGTCGTAGAAAAAATTAAACTGAAGCCTGCAACTCAAATCCTACCATGGATAGTTTAATGAATCTTCCGGACAATTTGAAAAATCTTTTTGATAATTTGAAGGATTTTCCGGAGGATTTGAAGGATTTTCCTATACAACAAAAAGCATGTAATTCCATGCAAATAGAACCAACATGTTAAAGGCTTATTTGATTTCAACTTAACATTGTTTTTGTTTTGTACATTTTATTCGGCGCTCTATAAGTGGTGAATTATTGATATATATATATATCAATGCATACATATATATATATGTTGGATTAAGACTGTCGAAAATGCAATTATTGATGAAAATCACATCATGTTCGGCATCGGAAGCAATATCGTGGACGACCACGATGATCGACTGGAACATAAACAAATGCCGAACATTCTGTGATTTTCATTAATAATTATATATATTTTTTCATTTCATTTTCAAAGTTTTATTCATAATCAACGACATATCAAATAAGTGAATAAGAGTTATGAAGTTGAATATGCGGAGACCGAATAAGACTGTTTGTCTTGTGGTGGCCACCGCAGGTAGATACATGAATAGTTAATGAAATAAAATAAGGAAAATAACTGAAGCAGAAAGATAATTGAAGATAAATAAGTAAATGTTCGTGTCATACATGTATAGACATATAACTATGTAAATGTTCGCTCAGTACATATATAAACACATAAATGTTTAACCATTCATAAAGACCATTCATCCGCATCATTTGTTCTAACGTATTCTTAACATAATATTAGGTGGTGGAGTCGAGATCCAGTGTCAATAAAAAAGCACGGAATTTTGACTTGAAATGTTGTAGGTTTATGATGGCTCTTAGATGGGGAGGTACAAGTTCTGTCCAAATTTTAGGACCTGTTATTTTTATGCTTGTCTGGATTAATTTGAGGCGAGTTTATATATATATATATATATATATATATATATATATATATATATATATATATATATATATATATATATATATTGGATTAGGACTGTCAGAAATGCAATTATTGATAAAAATAAATCACAGCATATTCGGTACGATTCACAAAAGATTTTATTGCACTTACTTTGAATTGTTCCGTACATTCACTAAACCCATTTAAATAAATACTTTATTTTTTGCTTTGATGTATACGACTGTTGTAAATCTTTTTTGTCATGCATTACCAAAACACCGAAAACTGGCAATCAATTTTCACTTTCGTGCTCGATGAGGAAAGTCAATTTTGATTGGTTCAGGGTTTCTTGTGGCTGGTTGACTGTTCCGTATCATCGTATGCGACGAAGATATCATCAACATATCTGGCATAAATATTTGTTTTTAATTCCGGATTGTCTTTAAACATTTCGATCTCAAGTTGTCCTAAAAAGAAATTTGCAAACAGGACACCGAGTGGTGAGCCCATGGCTACACCGTCAATTTGCTTGTTTAGCTTGCATGTGGGATTGTGAAAAAGTGCTTCGATTTAGAGAAGAGACCCGCATGCTCTGCTAAAATCATTCGTGAGAAGGCAGACACTAACAAATAACATGTGCAAGAATGAAGAAAAATGTAGCTGCATTAAAACATTCATGGAGGCATTTAGGAATGCCAGAACGATGTACGCCCAAAAAATGTACAACAGTAACGCGTCCACAGAGGGAGCGTGAACACCCTAGTATAATGAATAGATCCAAACATAAATTAACAGAGGGACAGATGAATCTACTAGGCAAAGGGCTGGGTTAGGGTTGTGAATATTAGCAAAAGTTGATTCTTTTCTATAAAAACAGAATGAAATGTCATGGCGCGCTCTACAAGAGAATACACGTTATATGCAGGGATTCAAAAACATTATTTTAAAATAATAAAAACTAAGTTATGTTATTCTATAAACAAATACAAAAAATATGTTTCCAACACTAGCCGATCGGTGTTCTAGGCAAAGAATGAGGTCCATTATCAGGTTCGCGCCAATAAGGCAGCGATTTGTTAGTACGATTTTTAGTTAGCTGTTTCGCATCTTTAATGAAGTACATTTTAATTGGTTTTGAGCTTCACAAGGTAGTTTAACTTAATTTTAACTTAGCTTTAATCATTTTGATTTGGCCCGGTCTTGAATTCAAGTGTATTTTATTAAATAATAACATTTTATGTTAAGCTCTTTCACGTAAATTTAATATTGGTGAAACGGGTCGAATGAAACAGAATGCTTGTGTTTGTTTAGATTCAACGATATCCTTTGACAATCTTTATTAGTCATGTTTACATTGTGTTCTATTGAGTGGCGAGTTAGCAGAAAGATATAGAAAATGGACAAAACATTCGCACACACGTGCACACAAAATCCATTATGTAACGTAAATTTATAAATGTTAACAGCAATTGTTACAATTCAAATGTTCACAACAATAGCATGGTGCTGCCGTCTAACAATATGAAATATGCTTGTGAACGAAATGAAACACATTCATCCTAGGCAAGCTGAGGGCTTGATTAGATATTGTCTTGCAAACAAGCTAAAGTAAAGAAACAGTATAGGAAAAAATAACATTTTTGTTGTGAATATTTCAAGTTAAAAACTTATACGATTGCTTGTGGTGAATATTACTTAAATATAAAAAATCATTTGTGGTGTGTGATTATTAATAAATTGGAAATGTCTTCTAAAGAGGTGAATAGATAAGATTTTCGTTTTATGGACTTTCTTGTTCTTACGGCGTTCTTGTATTATGTTTTTTTTATAATAAAAACATGTTAAAACGTTGATTAACTATTCAATGCAAATTTTTTTTTCTAAATTTTAAAGCACTTCTATATGTTTTTTATTTATCAATGGATTCGTTTCAATGAAGGATTTCATAAAAAAGCAAAGATTTCTTTGCACTCACAGTAGCATTTCTTCAATGATATTATCGTTGAACAAATTTCGGTATATCTGAATTTTAAGGTATTAAAACTGTAAATCAGATATTTAACCATAATAATCATGTTAATCGTCCCCAAGCCAGAGTTGGACGTGGTCGGCTGCTTTGGTTGGCTCCCTTATCGCCTTCTCGACATCGTACCAATTCGGATACAATCTCACCGTTCTCAACACACCGATGATTGTTGGTTAACAACACTTAACTTAATTATTTTCAGGCATATTTACATTCTTTGGTTTATTAAACTCTAAAACAAACTTTTTTGAGGTAGTTTTCAATTAAAATTTGATGTAAATTTAAAATAATTTTTATTTTTAGTTTGTGAAACAATTTTTGAATGATTCCTACTCAACAACGGCTTCATCGTTATCAGCACTGCTGAAATCATCAACATCATCATCAACTCCACAAACAGCATCGCTCCCAACAACAGCATCATACTCAACCTCATCATCATCATCATACTCACCACCATCATCAGACTCACCATCATCTTTATTTTTATATTTCTCAGCAACGTCATCTTCATCATCCTCCACAACGATCTTGTCAAAATATAATGCAATCAGTGAGAACACTCTGACGATCCTCTGGTCGCTATGCACAGCTGTGTTTGTCTGTGGAGGCATGATAGGTTCCTTCGTTGTTGGTTGGCTAGCTGATAAGCTGGGCAGGTTCTCCAAACATTTTCTACTTGAATTATTCATGTCCAACAATAAAGTTTTTTCATAATGTAATTTTTTCAATTTTATTTAATGCAGCTCTGTCAAACGCAGAACTGCTTGCATATTTTATTATATTTGCAATGAAACTTTTGTGTCACAAAGGCTGTACACCACCCATACAACAAATTACACGTTATGTATGCACGCGCAAGCTCCGCCTCATACGGGTATGATTGTCTTTCAGTTTTGGATAGACAGTATTGTTATATAATGTATTATAATGTATACTGAATAATGTATCCAATTATTATATATATATATATATATATAGAGAGAGAGAGAGAGTATTGTATGAATTCTACCAAATTATCATTGCTATTGGTGTGTTTGTAAGCGCTCTTTAAAAAGATCTCAGAGGCGCCAACGATTGTTGCAGCACATTATTAAGGCTAAGCAATGAATGGAGAGAAAAGACATTAGCACGGGTAAGCTTAAAAAAAAGATGGTGCTTCAACCTTTTACAAAAATGAATAACAGACAACGCAGGATCACGAAAGTCCCTAGGCAAACCATTCCAGACAGCAGGATGGACATGGACTTTTGAAATGCTTTAAGCTGGTTTATCTTTTCTGCTCCATGATCTCTTGCGTTTGACATTATTGTTATATACAACATATTTTTGTACCCAGTGATGGTGCGCTTCAAAAATGGTTCATTTTTGTGACATTCAAGGAGTGAAGCACAGACGTCAACGCGACGACACAAATTTCTCTCCGTGAGGATATGGGAAACCCATATATCGAGCTTTGAGACTAAACCCAGGCCATTCAGGTGGTCATAAACAGTTGAATTCGATAAATTTAACCTATCACCGATTTCACGTGTTTGCCGGTTTGTATCAACTAATGCCTTTATCGCGTGTTCCTGAACATGGTCCATCTTCGACATCAAAATTGCCGGATCGAAATTTCGCAATCCAATTCTGGCACTGGCGTATTGTCAGCACATCTTTTCTATACACATAGGTTAATTTTTTTCTGGCTTAAACAGCATTTTTACCTTTTTTATAGTGAAAAAATAAAATATGACGAAAATGCTGCTTATTTTTCTCCATATTTCAAAGAACACCGACCAAAAACTACTACGTACAATCAATTAAACTTATTCACACACAAACCTTGCTATATCTGCTGTCAAAACATATAATGACAAAGCAACTTAAATGTGAACGTAGCTGTTAAAAAATACAAAACATAGCAATCGGGAAAAGACGAAATTACTTTCGGAACAATATAATAAATCGCAGTGTGGCTTGAGATGCAATTGCACCCCAAGATCTCCAGACAGTTAAAATTTAAAATCTGAAAAATATTACATGACATTTTTTAAAATTTAGTAAGTCGCATGAGATTTTTATTAATTGAAGTAGTATGAACTGAAAATGTTTCATTGAAATAGGAGATTCACTCTGATGTTGAATGCCGGGCCAGCCATCTCGGGGGCACTGATTAGTTTCGGCTGCGTGTATGCTGGGTCGCCTGCTCTTCTGCTCGTTGGACGGTTCATCACTGGCCTCAGCTGCGGTCTGTTGTTTCGCTAATTTAGTGTTTTCTGCATTTTAAAACGATTTTTTTTTTCAATTTGCTATTCACAATTTCGAGTCAATGGTACACAATATTATAATAACAGCATGCTGTGTGTCAAGTTAAAGTAGTAGTAGCATGACTGTATCATAAAATTTGAGTAATTTTGATAATTCGTTTGATTTTTATAGTTATAAAATCATTATGATGGCGGATGGCTGGATAACATACATAATGGTAAACGGGCTCTGAATAACTGTGATATGATAATATTCTATGCAGACATACAAACGCACATGCTAAAAAATACATAAGAAAACACAATCAAAAATGATTTTAAATAATTTTTCATTGACACTTATTAATTTGAAATTGTAAAAATAAGCATTGTTATTAGTTAAAACAATAGCGGTTCGATTTCTATTGTTACATGAATTCAATTAAAAATATAACAATGCTAATTACAAAAGAATAGCGATAATATTAGCACCATAAAAAATAATATATAGTAACAAAACTGTAATAACAATAATAATAATAACAATAATAATAATAATAATAAAAGTTCTATAACATGCGAACTTACTCACATGAATGCCGATTTGATCGGCGACATTTATATTGAATTGTATACGTGTCTTTATTTCTATTATCACTCACAATGACAAAAAATTTCTTTATAAAATATTTCTTCGTAATAGTGATGGTTCGACGTCAAAATGTCAATTCTATTTCGATTATTTTCAGGTATAAAATTTCAATTTCGATTGTGAAGAATGTTGTTTTACGTTTAGCGTCTTTCCTGTTGGCGTCTTAATTTGATTTGCTAGACATTGCAAGCGGAATTTTCCACCTTATTTTGTGTGAAATAATTATGTATAATGCTCCGTTTTTTATATTCCTTGGAATAACAAACTTTAGCATTACTTATAAATTCCTTGTTTTGGATCGTGTAAAGAAATTTTCAACTGGCAAATGCCTAAATTAAGGTAATTAAAAATAGAAATAGTAAACCAAATGCGTCCATTTCAAACATTCAATCAACTTTTTTTGTAACAAAAGATACTTAACTCCGTGTTACAAAATCAAACTTTCGATAATCGTACCATCGCTACTTCCTAACATGTGTTTTGCAGGAACTTGATGTTTTTAGGATTCGTTACTTCAGAATAGCTTTCCTGAATTTATGAAATTATTTTTACCTTTCCAGACCGATTGTGTGCATTCTGGCTCAACGAAGATAAACAAATAGAAATTTCTGATGTGCCAACCAGTAGTTTTGAGAGCCCTTCAATAATAAAATATTTTTATATGTCCGGCGTGGTTTGTTATTTCTAAAAAACACGTCGAAGAAACCGACGTTAACATGTTTTTAAAATTTCTTAGTAAACAAATTTTAATGCGATCTCTGTTCAAACGAAAGCACATCAAAGACTACATTTCTGCCAGCTAGATAAGTTGAACAATGCCGAAAATGCTACGATATTAAAAAGTACATGTATATTTGTATATATGTATGTATATATGTTTGTATGTATGTTTGTATGTATGTATGTATTGTCTATTATTACGGAAAGTTATATACTGGGCTTTTTATTTGGTGAAACTCAAAAGCGCTATTGATTCATAGACAAATAAATCGGACGTTCATTGTTTTCATGTTCTTTAATATTATTCGAAGTATCAATATCTTTTGCCATCTTTTTAACTTCGTCAGCAACTACGTCAATGTTCTTTTTGACGACATCCGCGTAGGACGATTTAAGCTCATGAACCTCATGGAGTAAATCGTCGATAGTAGACTTAATGTCATTCTTGGAGGAACTATCACGATTGAGATTCATTGACGATTTAAGCGTATCAAAATCGACTCTGAGAGTTGCATTGAAAGCAAAAATTTCACATAACTTAGAGTTAATTGATTGACAGGTATCGTCAATTAAATTAGTTATTTCAACAGCCTTATAAATAGGCTTTCTGCAGCTTTCACAATACCAAAATAGTCCATGGGTACCTTGTCTGCAATGTTCATTTCAGTTGGCACCGTTGTGAGTAGTTTTCTTGGAATGAAAATTTTTCTTGGTGAGTCTATTGTTGATGACTTGCAGTTAACGTTTTGAATGAGAAAAGTGATTAGTTGTGCTATTTTGCAGTTAATGGACGTTATAATCGTCTACAATCTTTAGTTCTATATTGCATTTCTTGATTTTATATATATATATATATTTATTTATATATATTAGTTTAGACTATATATATAATAAAATATATGTTCCACCGTTTGTAGGGATTGAAAACAAATGGCCAATATTGCTGATTCTGAATGCAGTACCTGGTTTGGTCAGTTTGTTCACCTTCCCTTTCCTACCTGACAGTCCAAGGTTCTTAATGGCAGCTAAAAAGGACAAAAACAAAGCCAAAGAAGGTGTTAATGTTATTTAACAACTCAATGCCAACATGCTTCAGTTTAATTTTGAACTTGCCTTACTGCTTACAATCTAACATTTATTTTTTTGAAAAACCTAACAAATAAACTATGATAACTTTTTCATATATGTAAAATTTTTGTTTATTTGAATTTTGCATATTTTTCTTCGCAATTTTATGTTCCAATTTAAATTGACAACTCAACATTCAGCTTTGAAATGGCTTCGTCGACGAGAAGACATTACGAATGAAATCGAAGAGATGGAGAAAGAATCAAGAAACCAAGGTGAAGAGTGCAGCCTATCGAAAATGTTCCGAGCTCGAGAACTTTTTGTTCCATTAATCATATGTTTGGCACTTCAAATAATTAAATCTTTTTCCGGCATAACTGCCATCCTGTTCTACTCTGCAAGCATATACTTAAACGCTGGAGTTGCAGTCGATGTTGTTCAATATGCCAATTTGGGAACATCATTTGTCACCGTCGTCACTGGAATTGTTATGGTGAGAATGATTTAATCGTGAAAAATATAACAAATAACATTGTTTTCATTTTTAGTTTATTGTTGTTGTAAACATTAATATTTATTAATATTTACAAAAATAATAAATTAAAAATAGAATTTTTATTGTCAAATTTTGTTTTAACAGTAATATGAATATTTACATGTACGTCATTTCGCCTTGCTCATTTAGGGGTGTATTTAAGAGATGTTGGCTGGCCCAGGGCCCACTTCGATACAAACCGTCAACCGCCATATTGTTGTGGTTCATGTAGCCAGCATACTGTTTCACTACTTTTTATACACTATAACAGAGTTTTTTTTTATAAATGATAAAACGGTTTTAAATAGTTTAAATTAAACGGTTTTTTGCCATAACCAAAAAAGTTAACAAGTATTTTTAGTTTTTGGCCCGGTCTTATTTTGGTTAAATTCGCTATTGATCTCAAATTTACTAGAGCAGCGTTAATTTTTTAAGGCCTTTTAAAAATTTCACTGTTTTCACTTATCAGAATATTAATATCCTTATTTTACTTATCATTACTTAATGAAGAAATTAGTAGAGCCCTTTTATAAATTAGTTTATTTCATGAAAATTTTGAAATCATCATCGGAAATTCTGACCAAAATTAATCCAAAATGCAAAATATTGTACAAAATTTAAAGCTCTCATGTATTTGTTTTTTATTTATTCACCCAAGAAGACAACTAAGCGGTTTGTTGAAAGAGCATTTAGAGGAAGTTTTAACTTAAACAGTCTATTAAAAAATTAAAAATTCATAAATTAAAATTCATAAATTTTTTAAATAAGATACCCTTGATGGACAGACTGGGTAGAAGAATTTTGTTACTAGGGCCGATGCTTGGCATGATTCTCACGCTGATCGTCCTCACTGTGGCGCTCAATTTGAAGGTGAAGGTCATAATTAAAAATAATTCTAGTGTAACCTTTTTAGCGATAGCATTGACAATAAAATAATCATTAAAACTAACGTTTGGTTTTAATAACATTAATAATGAAAACAATTTTCTTTGTTACATGTTATTCCTGCAGTTTAACCTTTTAGAGACTATGCATTTTGGAATGACTGAAAATAAAATAATTTCCATACAGTCGAGATATCCTTTCATGAACTACCTGAGCATCGCCTGCATCATCATCTACGTCGTTCTGTTCGCCTGCGGACTGGCCTCCATTCCGAGCATGATCCCAGTCGAGGTCTTCAGACAGGGTCCAAGGGCCAGAGCAATGAGTTTGGCCGGGTTGGCCAGCTGGATATCGAATGCTATTGTGGCTATGTGTTTTGAGATTGTTCAAGTGAGTTAATTAAATTTACGATACGATACGATACGATACTTTTATTTGCTTCTAAAAAATTAACAAAAGAAGAATAGAAGACAATTAAATTAACAAATAACTGTTAGAATGCTCTATTGAAACTTATGAAAAATATTAATTTTTTTAAAAGGTCATCACTACAATTAATATTTTTTAGCTTTCTTAAATCACAAAAATTAAAAGAAGTTAAGGTAGGTAGACAAGCTCTGCTAATCTGTATAATGATCATTCAATTTTTTATACTAAGATGAAATATGAAACAAAGTGCATACAAATTTTTTAGAATCATTGATATGACAAGAAATAAGAAGATTCACAATCATATAATCATATAAAAGCTATGACTCGTTTAGGTCGCAAAACGTGCAGTGATGGTTGACTTAAGCATGTCTAGTCTAAAAACAATATCATTGGCCATTTGTTGATTTTTTTTGTTAACAAACATGGAAATTATTAGATATTAGATCAATGATGGTATCAGCCCTTTTCTTAGTAGTACTTTAACAGCAAAAAATTTTCAGTAATAAAAGTGTAGCAGTTGTAGAATTTGCTTTGTGGGGACATTTTACCCTCTGAAGACCGGTTTAATTAAAATATATTGGGATGATATTTTTATCAACTCGCAAGGCGCACTGAAAATATTTGGGACAAGTTGCTTAAATTATTCAAATTTCTCTAGGTTTTTCGATGTATTTCCTCTAACTGGTCGATATTATTTAGAACGTTGATGGCTATGCGGCTAAAATATATGCATTAATATATGAATAATTTTTGTTACAATTTTATACAAAAACCACAACAAGAAAATTTTACAAAATTATTCTTTTTTATTTCATAACTTCTTGAAAATATTCCACTAATGTAGACAGACAGTGGCTGATCTAGGGTGGAGGTGGCGTGAGCGAGCAGTGTTGTTATCGTTTAGACTTCGTATCATTAGACACGAATAGTTATCCTTATGAACAACGTACAATAATTCGATTATTTTTTGGAATGTGGCACTGATTTTGTGAAGTAAGCTAGTGATTTGTTATTAGATTCATATAGTACTCAATTTTTAAAGCGTGAAAATGTATAATTTGGTAATGGATTTCCCGACGTTTTTGATATATAGTATCTGCAATCTACCAAATAGTTATCAGTTTGTGTTACTGAATACAATCTCTAGCTCAATTTTCTTTATAGTGTAATGCTGATACAGGGAACTATGGTGGTAGTTTCGTATTAGATTTATGCAATGGTCTATCTCATGTGGACACCACCCTCCGTTATGAGCATTATTTTTATTAAAATTCAGTAAAACTCAGTTTTTAGTCACAAAATGACCAAAGATTGAAGTGATTATCTAAAGAAGGTCACTAGCCTAATTTTTGCCACACTATTAAAAATTTGGTTAGTCGCTTAGCTCCTCCGTCAAATTTCAAAATTTGAACGTTTTCAAAATTTTGCCCCCTTCACCCGTAAAAGTTGTTTACATCCGTCCTTTTAGACACATTTTGATAATTATATGCGTAAATCAGTTTTCTATTGGGGAAAATACCAACACAAACATAAATTATTTATTTTTTATGTATGTCGTAATTATTATTTGTAATTATTCAAACAATAACTTACCTAAACAAATTTAACCTGGCTAATCATTCCTTCAAGCTGTCAGCAAACATTATTCGATTGTACCCCACAGGCAGCCACTAAAGAATTCATCTTCCTCATCTTTATCGTCATCATGATTGCTTCTACAATTTTTGTCTACTTGAAAGTTCCCGAGACAAAAAATAAGACATTCGATGAAATTGCAAGTCAGTTTAAAAGTGCATCCAGAGAAAGTAATGGTGAGATAAGAACAGTTGTTGCCTGACAATGGGCTAATTTGGTAACATGAGCTTTTATTATAAAATTAATTTTAAAAATGAATCAAATATTGTGTCACAGAAACAAAAAACCAAATAGATAGTTTCTTTAAATTTGCATTTTGTTATGCCATTTGAAAAATTTTTTAATTTAAAATTTTTCGTGGTAAATTTTTTGTTGGAAGTTTTATGCTTTTATTGTCGATGTTGAAAGTTAACAAATAACAATGCAATACTGTCAACTGTAAATATTGTTTCATTTCAATTTTGCCTATCAAATTTTTTAGTTAGAACCAACATCGCTTGCTGTGTTGGTCAGTCGCTTATCATAAAAATGTTTTCCATCGTCATCGTCAAATTTCAGAAACAAAAACAAAGAAATAGTTTGTGAAAGAATACAAAATCATTGGCAATTAGCATATTTTCTAGCAAAAAAATATTTACTGTAATATAAAAAATTAAATAAAAAATAAAGTCTAAGTCGTTCAAGTTTTAGCCGTACACATTATTCGTGTTGTGTTATAATTTTTTAACATTTACTCAATGTATTTGGTTCAATTACTTTTGTAATATTGAAACTTCCAATGCTTATCCCATCTTAACAGCATGAGTTTTTTATGATATCGGTTGAGTCCGCCAGTAAAGATTTACTTATAAAAATATTTAATTTTAAAACAACACAATTTAATTCAACAACACTTGCAATTTTAATCTGCCAGCATTCAGATCTGGACACTGTGAATCTCAAGTTTTTGTCACTTTTACAATAAAAACACGTTTGAACGGATAAGCAAGTATGAATTTTAAGTTTTCATGCAATCAAGTCCATAGTGAATGCATGTCAATGTATAGAGTGCATGAACAAACACAGGATCTCATGTTGAGGGAGGCAGAGTGAACGCACGTATATTAACCTTGGTTGTCGGTGGTTCATAATGACTGAATAATAGAATGAATGAATGAACGAATGAATAAATGAATGAACGACTGAATGAATGAACGACTGAATGAATGAACGAACCAACGAATGAATGAATCGTAATGTTTGAGAGGTGCGCAGGTGTGATGTCTGGTGATAAATATGCGGTTAATTGTTGTTGCATTGTTTGTCATGAAAGTCATGTTTTCATCAATTAATTCGCCATTACGATTCAATTTCGAGAATTCATGAATACGCGCATGGATGAAATGACAACCTACATTCGCACGTGAATACAAGGCACTGCACGTACACACGTACCATACATGTAAAATGACACATCGGATGACAAGATGTTTAGTATTTTCCATTCCTATGTTGAAGAAATCATTCAATTGAAAATGAATTTTTTAAAGTTTGTTGAAGCACAAAAGTTTATTGCGTAGGGACAATTTGTGGCTAGTAAGAAGTAGTTCAATAATTTGTTCCAATTAAAAAAATTGAAATGAACTGATAAGATGACGTAATTAAATTTTGTTCTGTCTAAAGATGTAAAAACAGCAGTTCTTCTTACATTGAAGTTTGAGTGGGACGCAATGGAGTGATTGCGAATGAAGAATAATTTCAAACCGCCTTTAATCAGCATCATTCATCCATTCTTAATGAAAATAAAGTTGAAAAATACGAAACCTTTAATTGAAAAACAGAAAAATAATTTGTAAGAATCAAATAAAAAAATTATTGATTTCTTCCAAAGAGCAAAAATTGAGATTGAAAAATAAATTTCATCGTAATTTGTCCATGCATCAGAAGCCATATGCCAAACAGTTGTACAAAAGGACGCAAGAACTTGCACTGTAACGAATCTTTTTAACAAATATCCACCCACCTGAATATGCCATGCCGATTGCAATTCATTAGATTGAAATTATATTATACTTAAACTAAATTCGATGAATCATGTACATAATATACAAAACTATTTTAAAAGCAATTACATTTCAAATGAATAAAATGATAATAAATTAAAAAAATGCAAACACATTTGCAGTACTCCATTTCGTATCCAACAAGGTTTGTGCGTAGCCCGAGTTTGTACTTAAAAACATACAAAACTTAAAAACAGATCCTAAATGTAAGTTTCTGTATGGTATAATTCAAAATCGGTGACAGATTGCAAGTACTAAGAATTTAATTTTGCTGATCTAATGTTGACAAGGGCTGATTCCGAATGGAACTGCAACATAATTTTAAATGAATTTTATGACGTATAAGCGGCCTCATGCAGACAAGCAAGCCAAGTTCATCTGTTCGGTGAACAACAGGAAACAACAAAATGACGACTTTGCCAGAAAAGTTTATCAACATCATACGATTTTTGTAGCACTTACAGTAAGAAGTCCACCCTATTTGAACGCAGAATTTAAAATTGTTAAAAACAAAAATCGAATGAACAATCTTGTAAACCAACATTTGCAAAAACAAATGTAACGATAACAACTGTATGCAAAAAACTATATCGGCGCTGACATGGAATGCTTTTTATTCATTCTTGAGACGTGTCAAATTTTTAAGACCTGCAGTAATTTTGGGTTATTTCAGTGAGAACGAGTATCAACTTAGTAATGAATTTGAAATAATCATGACATCGTGGCGAAAGTTCAAATGCCGTTGAGGATAAGAAAAGCAAAAAAGCATTTGCAGCAAGGAACTGAGATTCTGCACATTTCGTGACGTACTGGAAGCCATATGATGAACACTCAGATATCATCGGCGACAGTTCTATGAGAGGAAGTTGCCTACCTGCTGCTCCAATCAAAATGTTCTCTTTTTTAAAATTTCTCGTTTAAAATTTATTTAATTTTTATTTACTTCAAAATTGAGCATTTACAAATTTAAAAGTATATTTAATGATTAAAAAATTTAATCATGAGATTAAAAGTAACTAACAATTAATTTGAACTACTGAACTTAAACTCTATTGATGGAGGATTGTGGCAAAAAATAAACATCAGTTGCGAGTTTGCATATATTTATTATATATATGTTAGAATTAATGGCTTTCCAAAAAAAATGTAAATATTCGTTTGACTGTGGTTTGTTTGGAAGGAGCTTCTCTTGGGTGAGCCATTGTTTAAATGTGATTGACAAACTGGTATTCAAGGGCGGATCTTGACAACTCTTATTGGAAATACTTGGAGCCTGGCATTTTTGCTTCAATTTTTATATTCAGAACGGTGCTTTTATGTGTAAAAACTGTTTTAATGCATGAAAAGTTGGAAACATTTTCAAATAATCACAAGAAAATGGGTGTTGACTGCTGATTCCTCCACACATCCACCACTGCTGGTATTCAACATTTAGTACATTTCATCAGGCAAACCTTTTACTGTGAGGGCCGCATTGAAAACTATTTCACCTTTGAAGAGCCGCATATGTACTTAAATAGCAAATTTTTCGACCCAGAGGAGAATTTTTATTTAATTTGTTGTTCCTTTTTTTGGTCATAATGTCTGGCTGACGACCTTATTTTGGCGAACAAAGCTTCGCGGGCTGCATAAATTTCTTCACGGGCCGTAGTTTGCCCACCCCTGCATTAGATTGAATCGTCAAACAAATTTTCTGGTCTTAGTTTTTTAAAACGATGTGATAATTTTTTTCATTAAAAACCCCTTCTTTAAAACTTACTTTCAATGTTGACTAAAACTATTCATCTTCTGATTTCAAAAAGTGCCGTAATAACCATTTGACAAATAATTTAAACATCAGTTACTTTTTCAATCTTTTCAATGAACTTACTAAATATAATTTATTCATTACAAATTTATAAAATATGAAAATTTATAAAGATAAACTTATGTAAACTTTAAGCAAAACACTTCAAAGCAACTGTGCGTTGTTGTTGTTCAACATCAGAGAGAATGATTTAAAGGCCGACACGTCAACTGAATTCAATAAAATGAAATTCGAAACCTACATTGTTGTTATTTCTGCTGTTATAATTGATTGTTACAATTTGCATGGTAGCAACGTAACGGAGATATAGCAACCGTTCGATGTTTCGAAAACATTTTTTTGCACTTTCAATAAAAACATCGATATTTCTTTTAAATTTTTAATATTTTATCGCGTCCAATGCTAATTTAAATAAACCGTCAAAATTAATAAAACAACGTCAACTGATTTCAATTAACTTTTTGTAAATCCCAATCAATTAACAATTTTTTTTATATATGTTCGTCAATTTTATTCAATTTAATTTTTCTATCTCAGTCACTTTCCAACTTTCATTCCTGTTTCTATTCTTTGTTTTTGTTGGTACATGCGTCCAATTTTCTAACTCGACAGGTAAATCACGGAATAAAATCAATCGTCAATAATTAAGCATCTCTCATCAGACTTATTATATTGAGTTCTCCTAACCCTGGTGTTTTTATTGCAGTTGAGTTTACAGCTATCGAAATCTTACCTCTGTCACAAGTGTGTAATCTCCTGAAGATCCCACTTCCATCTACAACTGTTTTCCAACAGATTTTTCAAATATTATCTATCAAATGTTCCTAATTGTTTTCGTCTCTTTTGTTAAACGTCCAAGTTTTACAAGCATTTTGAATTTGTATTTGATTAATGTATTGTCACTTCAATCAATTTTTCAGCAATGCAAACTTCTCTCGTGCAATACCTTAAAATATAAAGACATCCTTGCCTTTTACATACACACATACAGATACATCTGTGCTAGAGCGAGACCCATAAACTAACATGCGAGTTTGGGCAAAATGATGGTTTATATGACTGTTGTTTTTAACCATGGCCTCGTACGTATAAAATGACATTATTATTTTTATTATCATTAAAAATGCCTCCTAGTTCAAAGCTACCATTTAAAGTTTCGGTATTAAAGCTCCGACACAAATTTTGACACTTACTATTTTGTCACATGTTTTAGTTTAACCCATTAGTGCCCAAATCACAACCACGCTACCAAAAAGTATCAAATTTTTCAGTTAGGTAGCTATACCTAATATGAGACCCTAGCACAAGTATTTTTTTGGATTTTATTATTTGTAACAAAATGGCGGCGTGTTCCCAAATGGGAACAATGGGCACATCAACTACCATGTTCCCATTTGGGAACATCTTTTTTTTAACATAGAAATAAATATAGCAGACTTTTAATTATATGGAAAAAATGTAAAACGCAAAGAAAAATGATTTTTTTTAATCAAATGAATTTGTGAAAAAATATAGTTTAGTCAAATTTTATTAGTCATTTATTAAAACTGTTAAATTTATTGTTTTTCGTGATAATCTTTTTCACAGTGAAGATGCAATGGAACATTGCACTTGTTACTGAAGACGTGCATTTTTTTTGCATTGTCGACATCTGGATTGCTTCCCAGATGGAACCAAATGATGACCCGTCATATCGAATCTTACATCAGGAATAGGTTGGCTATAAGGTCCTGTCATCATCTGTGCTGGTTCTTGCAGTTGCATGATTGTACGCACAATATATCTCCTGAAATCTAGATGATCAAAAGTTCCTCCCACTTCAACATGAAGTCGCCAGGCTGCTACGACAGCCATGTTTATTCCATTTATGAACAATGGCCACCACCATTTCTTGGACCTCAACATTGGTCGATAGGAAGCCATAAATCTGTCAAGCAAATCGACTCCTCCCATGTGTGTGTTGTACCTTTTAATGAGTGCTGGTTGAGGTACATCTACAGAGGCTTTCTTGGTGCTGCTCCATCTCCGAGCTTTGTCAAGTGGAAGAATTTTATCATAATTTGATGCAACTATGACACATTGATTATCATTCCACTTGACCGCGATTACGTTTTTGTCACAACATGCATCATAAAATCCTCTGTCTTTCTTTCTCATTGTTTTTGAATCCATCAATGGACACTTTGTCAAACGATTTTCTCTTACTGTCCCTGTTGCTTTTATATTTTTTTCTTTCAGTGAGCTGAGCAAAGAGTAGTTGGTGAAAAAATTGTCAAAGAAAACTTCATGATCAGCAGGATTTTCAAGGCAATCTAACAGTGACATGACTACACGATGACCTAGTCCATGACTTTCATCATTTGTTGTCTGTGGTTCTTTGCCACAGTACACCTGTACATTAAATGGATATCCACTGGATGATGCTAATACCCAAAGTTTATACCCAAAACGAATGGGTTTTCCTCGTAGAAACATTTTTGCTGAGTGATGTCCAAAATAGGGTACCATTTCTTCATCAATACTAAGAAATTTATTGAAAACACCAAATTGTTGGAAACGAGTATTCAATGCAGAAATGAAAGAACGAACTTTAAATAATTTGTCTCCTTGAACAATCTTGTCATTATCTGCCAAATGAATATATCTTTTAATTTCTAGGAATCGTGATCGAGACATCTGTTCTGCCACAAATGTAATTCTTATATCTTCATCCCTATTCCAGTACATTCTTTCCCGAGGCAATGTATGATATCCAGTCAGTAAAAGTATTCCAACAAATTTGTCCAAATCTAGGTGATTAAATTCAAATTTATTATTGTTTTTTTGTCCAGCATATTTGACTGTCTCATTCACTATCATATCCCTCAACTCATTGTCATAATAAAGTTTGAAAAGATGATATGGTGATTTGGAACATAATTCTGGATATTTTGATCTTATTTTTTCTGGTGTTCCTGTTGATGATTTTCCAGTGAAATTTATTTTTTTGGTCCATTTTGGTTCTGGCTTCTTACATTTTTTATCTTTTTTTTGTAATCCAACATCATTACGTGCGTCTGCTTGTTCTAAAAGAACACCAACTCTTCCAGGAACTTCATTTGGCATGTTTGATGGCAGCAAATCGTCATCATCTATCATCTCTTCATCTGAAATGCTGTCTACCTTCGTAGGAGGAAGCAACACTACATCAACTGGAGTCTGTGAATCCGTAATTGCATCTGTTGCGTCAGCTAAACGCTCAAATTCTTCAATTTCATCATCAGATTCTTCAAAATCCACATTTTCATCTGCCATAATGTTAGCAAGAACTTCTTCAGTACGAAATCTCTTCTCAGACATACTTAAATTGTAAACAATTTAAAATAAAAATTATTAAATATATCACTATAATATCATGAGAAACTAAATTGAGCACATGAGGTACTACGTTCCCATTTGGGATCATAGTACCTTATGTGTCCAATGTTCCCAATTGGGAACGTCAACACATATATCTCATTTAAAAAATAAGTTTAAGATAAACCTCTAATTTCATAATTTTAAAATATTAAGAAGTAATTGTGAATAAGTAAAAAATAGTTTAATTTAAATAAAACATAATACTTACTTGGAAATAAAATCAGAAAACAGACTAAAAACTTTTTTTAAAAATACAAAATTTTTAAAATGGCTACCAAAGCATGCGATGACAATACAAAAGACCACGTGACTGTATTGCATAGATATACTATTAATAAATATAGATTGGCCAAAACATGTAAAGCTTGTGCAAATATAAAATTTATGTAGCGCTAAATATACACGTTCCCAAATGGGATCATTGGGCGCTAATGAGTTAATAACAAAATGATCAGTCTTTCATTTGAGTTGTTGCTTGCGTGTTAGCTACTACAACATTGACATCTCATGTGCAGTGTTTTCTATAACAGCCAGCGAGTCTGCATCTTTTCCGATTGATTAAAAACTGTAAAATTGTGCAAACTGTCGTTTAGATAAATTTGAATAAGTTGAAAACGGGCCTAGCGAATTCATGAAACAGTTTTGAAAATTTCATATTACCTTATCCTTGCTTTCATCATTAAATATATAGAATATATGGGATGTAAATGAATAAATAAACAATATTTATATATAACTGAATATATTTATATAAATATATATATATACATACATATATATAAATACTTAGCATTGGTGCACAGCGAACTTGCCAACATACGCACGACCACGAATATGTAGCCGAAGAGAACATACCTGGCATTCGCTCACTTCTGAATGAGTGCTCTCTAGAAATTTAAAAACAACAACTGAATGTTTTTATCATCTCGCAGAATTTGTAAAATTTTCATTCTTTTCTGAATAAAAAGATTTTTTCATATTGACTTTGGATATAAACTAAGTTTGAGATGTAATCTGACGAATCTGTATGTACCTACATCATGGACGATCATTCTAACAAGGTTGGTTAACCTACTTTCCATTTCAAAAATTTCACAAAACATATCATTGAATTACTTTTAATTTTCAAAACGTTCCAAAATTCAGATTTATATGTTTTTGTATTTAAGAGTGAAATAAAATGTTGTTAAGAAATATTAGAATCATTCAAACTGTGAAGTGGTCGGAAATTTTCTGCTTAGTCCACTTTTTGAATATCAAACTAAAATTTTTTGACACATAAAATTAAAAAAAAAAATGATCTAATGAAAAAAAGATTGCATACATGTTAAAGTTCACCCAGATATTTTTGTAAAATTCAACCTTATTGTGCGGTGCAGCGCGGGGATTGCTCCTCCCCGTCCTACCCTTGATTCGGCCTTGTACTAGCTTACGATGAAAATTAAAATTTCATTTTAGACTTTAGAAATTATCCATTTTATAGGCTGTATGCAAAAAATCAATAACATTAGTCATCAGTTGCCTCAATGGCTTAGTTCTCACGCGCAATTTTTTTCTTGTATCTAAAAAAAATGTTGCTTGCTTTTTCTAAAAACCACTTTTTAATACCTGCCATCGCGACAATTTGCTAATTAGTTCGTTATTGTGAAATATAAGGAGAACATTAGCCACGTTAATTGGGTCTCTCATGATTTAACTCATTATGTTTAAAATGAAATTTTCTAGAATGATGTCAACCATAATGATAATAATAATACCAATTATAATAATATTAATAACAACAACAATATTAATGATGATTTTAAAGTAAAATTTAACAAAAAAATGAATTGGCGTTAAGTTATGCACACAAAATAATAGTAGTTTTAATGATCAAGATATTTCTAAAAATCTTGAAAAATTTTTATAATGATAAAATCATTCTTGATAATTTTCTTCATATTTCAATTTTTATATGGTTCTATGCATTAACAAACGTTTGGTTGGCAGACACATGCTATTTCTCGCTTTTTTTATTTTGAGTTGCTCAGCTAATGCTCGCGTGTTGCAAGACTCTGCCCTCTTTCAAGTCTGAGGGTTGAATAACATTTTTAGGGATTTTTTAATGATTAAAAAAATTGAGACAAAACTGATTTAATTTTCTACAGGAAGCACTTTCAGCCAGTCTGAAGGAACATTTCAAAGGTAACAGTTTTCATTTTCAAACAAACAAATCAACAATAAAATAAAATAAATAAGTATGTAAAAAAACAAAACAACACACAAACCACAAACACACACACAAACGAACAAACACACACACACACAAACAACCAACAAAGCAACACAGAAACAAGCACGGAAACAAACACACGAACAAACAAACACACGTACATAAAAACTGCGTTAAAAATTGTTCGCACAAGATGACGAGATGATGGGTCTTTGACATCCATCAGAAATCCCTTCTAATGAACATACAGTCTCAGGTGTGCAATGAACACAAACATAATGATTTCCACACATGAAACTTTGAACTCACTAATTTGAGAACTAAACATAATTGAATCAGTCGGTGCCTACCTTACTCAACAGGCATCACAAATACGTAAACAACATTGCATTGCAGTCATAATCATTTACTGATTTTAATATTTGTGGTTTTATTTGCATTCTCATTATTTATTAATTCAATTGACTCCCTTTACTGATTTTAACATTTGCCGATTTTAATTATATTATTATTATTTGATCTTAACTCTAACGCTTAACTGCTTATGTTATCATGAACGATGCAATGTTTTTTTTTTGTAATTTGATGTCATTTTGGTCGTTTTTAAACAACGCAGGTGGCTGTGAAGAATCTTTTTAATTTTTTTTAAACGAAGAAATAAAAAACAAACACGAATCCAAATTCGACATGATGGCAAAATTTCAAAATTTAGCATACGCAATTTTAAACATTGTACATAAAATAAAGGTAGAAAGAGACGTGTACATTGTACAATGTACAATTCATGCCTATCTAGTAAACAAGAAGGAGGCGTTTAAAAATAAATCCTTACGTGTTGAATCTCATTCGATAATTAAACACGTATTCCTCTTAGTTCGTTGAAGTTTCCAATGTCTGATTTTTTTTCATTCTCAAATAAATACTTTGATGATTATGTTTTAATAAGAAATGCTAGTCAAGAATAGGAAAGAATATTTAACTTTAATTATATAACACCAAACAACTAATCATCTTTTTAATTTTTTTAATTGATTTTCCAACAATTCGCTTACTTGTGCAGCATTCGTTCATCACGCATCATCATGCTCTGCGTTGTATTATCGTCAGGTCAACGGCATCCATTCAATTACTATTACTCTAAAACAATCTGAGATATTCCGAATTTATATGAAATATTATGAAATAATCTAAAGTAATCTTAAATAATTCAAAATATTCTGAAATAATCTTGAATAATATAACCTGAAAACTATACTTAGTCATTGCAGTCAAGCATTGTCACTCATCATCCAACTCAAAATCCAAATCATTCCTATTTTTAATGTGTCTCTTTCATATAGCACTTTTTTTCCCAAAAAGTCAATTAAACTACAAACAATAAGCGCTATATAGACCTTACACATATAAGACATACTTTTATCTAACTTTTCATCATCCGGAACAAATATTATAAATATTAGGGCGGTTTTTTTTCACTCAATTACATACCCACCTAGCGTCCATTTATAATAATTAAATTAATACTATTGTAAATTCTTTCCAAATAAATTTCCAGAGGCACTAGCTACACGTACATCGCTTGCGAATGAGTACACAGAGGCAAATGCTTCGTAAGTAGTACAACATTGCATGCGATGGCTGGGAATCTTTCACGAGCGCCAGAACTCAACATCAGTTTCTTGCGGTCTGATGTTTGAAATAACTTTTTTGTAGTCACTCTATTGAAAGTGCGTTGGAAGTATTAAATGTGCTGCTAGTCATTGACGAAAAAAATTTTTGTCTTTCAGACTTCAGTCCACCAAATATCTTTATTTTCAGCATAATTCTTATAAAACTGTAAAACATGTTCACTGCGTTTTAAAAATTTTCCAAATAATTTTGTGCGTATCTTTTTTAATTACAATGTTTCATTTTGTATCGTTATCACACTTCATTTAAATATCGAGTGATTCTGACGAAACATATTGATGCAAGGAACATGACCTGTTTCGCTAACTAAGCTGCTCCTCTAACAGAAAACTTATTGAAACGTTTCACTCGAACCACTTCGTGCACATGCTTTGCTGATGGTTTCCACAGCTATTTTCCCACTTCTTCATGTTGGCAGAATTTCGCGAAGCATTTTTGCTGTTTGACAAAAACGGAGACGGGACGATATCAGCGGTGGAGTTGGACGTGGTGATGAGGGCTCTCGGGAGGAACCTCTGCGAGAGGGAGCTGAACGCCATGATTAAGAGCGTCGACGCCGATGGTTCGTTTGTTTGTGCGGATGATTTTAATTTGCGATTTGTAAATGATATAAATGATATAAATCATATATGAAGTATGATATAAATGTGATATATAACACAAATGATATAAGATATAAATGGTATATGATGCAAATGATATATAATATAAATGTGTTACCTAGATCTCTCACTTGAAATGCCGTCACAACAAAAAAAATTGTTGGCTCAGTTTTAATTTGTAAGCAATTTTATTTATAACATCAAACGAGAGTATATTTATTTAAATATGATGAAGTTATGAAGCGCAATAGTGAAATAATAATTATACAGTATGGTGATTTTTTGACCTGGCCTGGTAGGTGAACTGATGCCACAAATAGTGTTACACTACAATTGCGAAGTTATATTTTAATAAGCTCACACCAGAACAAGACATAAACTTGCAAAACATATGAAGCAAACCAAACACTCTGTGAAACATAACAGGCTGGCAATTAAACACACGAAGAACCCATTATGAAGCATATTTTGAAATGCCACATAGAATCATGCTATCAAACACTCTTTGAAACAAAATTGCACCTTAAGAAGCATTTAACCATATCGTAACACGAAGCATGACTAACAGGACGTAAAACAAAACAAAACACTCTATAAAACACATCATGAAACACGATAAAACACATCATGAAACACGATAAAACACTCCATGAAACACGACAAACACGCCGTGAAACACGACAAACACACAGGCAATGGAGTGATAGACTTCGGCGAGTTCATGTTGATGATGTTGGATGCCAACCTGAATCCAGACGAGGCAGACGCTGACATGATGGAGATGTTCAGAGTCTTCGATAAGAATGGCGATGGAGTCATCACGCGACAGGAGCTCAGACAAGTTGTCAACACCTTGGGACAGGTGATTATGATGAAGGAAATATTTATTTATTATATTTTCTTCCTAAGTACTTTTCAAAAATATCAACAACAGATATACAATGCATGCCAACACTCGTAAACCAACACATTGTAGACATTGTATGCGATAGGCCGGGATCTCTTGGCACTCGAACCGTGTCACTGCAAAACCAGTGTCAGGCATCTTAACCATTACACTATTGCGCTGCCTACATGTTTGAAGATATTTTTTTAAAGAAAAAATGTTTTTTCTAAATATTGAAAGAATTGCAGACAATAGTTGAAATGTTTTGAACAGTCGTGCACAGACGAGGATCTCACGGAAATGTTGAAGGAGGCAGATGAAGATGGCGACGGTCAGGTCAATTACAAAGGTTCCTATTGAGTACCACAGTACAGTAATTCCTATTACTAATAATAATTAAATACCATAGTGCAGTAATTCCTTTTAAAGTTGCATTTCGTTCACGCGTTTCAATTTTTCCAGTATTGGTGTGAGCTCTCATGAGATGTACTTGTGTAAAAGTTGTTTGCACTTGTTAAAAAATGAACTCATGTAAAAGTGTCAAGTAGTACTGAAAAAATATGAACTTAGTGATGGTAAGTATTACCATCACTAAGTTCATATATGAGTATTTTAAATAGCACAAGTACTTGTTGCACTTCAGTTAAATAAAAACCTAAAAAGTTATAAATGTTATTATAAATGTTAATACATGCTGCAATTTTTTCTATGTCCACTTTAGAGAAAAACTCACTGAAGTTTTGCTTTATTTACCGATTAATAATATTAATTAATATCTTGAGTTGTGAGAATAATAGTTATTATTGAATATATAATTTAAGTCTATCGATAATGTACATTCATTTTACATTATCGATAAAAGTCTGGAAAAGTATTCAATGTACGAATTTTACGAGTACTTAAGTATAAGAAATTGAGTATAATTTGTGGTACTTAAGTCTGTGCTCAAGTAAATATCCGTTTCAGTACATGCCATTACATATTTTTTTTTAAAATGAAATAGTAACTTTTAAATTGAAGACGAAATGTTCGTGGGTTAGCAGGCAGTTATAAGTAAGACTTGACTGTTGTGCATCTCATCCATTTGCTCCTAACTAAACGACTCAATGACTTTATTCAAAATTATGTAACTATATATTTATTTATTTTTATTTTTAGTTTATTTAATTTACGTAGAAATTATTTTTAAAAAATAATTAGTAACACAAAGGCATTTACTTTGCAGAGTTTGTGAAAATGCTGACGACGAAGCGATGACTGAAGCTGAACTGAACTGAACTCATTCATCAACTGGCTCAACTTTTATTACATTTATTTAATTATTATATAATTCATTAAAATGTAACTGGAACCTTATTTCATCACAATCCAACTTTAATTGTGCAACATGCAACATCATATAATGGAGTGTGATGATTCAGAACCTGCAACCAGTGACCATGCTGAAGTGAAAACCAATTCAATAGAACTAGAATACTGCTAATTGTTAACGTTTGTGGGATAATTTTTAATAAATAAAATTGTCTAAAAGGTTTGAAGCCTTATAAAATGTTAACGGTATTAAGAGTAATTTGTAATTAAAAGAATGCTCACATGTTAATACGCCGAGCAAAAACAATTTTTATCATATATTCATAAAGTTTATGTCTTCAAATCAAATTGATAATCAGCCTAACTTTAGAGAAAAAGATTTTCTTGTTTAAAATAAAACAGTTTTTGTTAATGAAATACACCAAGCAATTCCTAATTCCGAAAATCAAAGTGAAATGTCGTCGTTCGTTGTTAAAAAACTTCGAAGACCAGTTTGAAGACGAAGAAGAGACTGAACATCGGCCCAGAGAAAATGTTCTCCTAATTAATTCTTTGATATTCATAGCGTGATTGAAAAAGCCAAGTGTATTTTTGAGCCTAAGTTGTGGGCCTATTCATTTTATTGATGAATAAAAATATTTTATTCAAGAATATTTAATAGGATTTTCAAGATTTTTATTTTTACAGTTAACGCAAAAAATTTTCGTGATTATATTAATAAAAACATTTATTTTTTGGAAGCAATTGTTGTTTTAATCTTTCTATGCCTTGTTGGTCTACATACATAATATGAATTTATTTTACAATATTCAACCTTTTGAAGCCGTTTGTGCAGTAAGTACGCTTGCAATATGATTTTCATATACTGTTCAGGAGACAATTTCTTGGTTTTGAAAAAATATTTTGAAAAAAAAATATTTTGAAAAAAATGTTTTGAAAAAATGTTTCAGTTGTTCAATGAAATGGTGTCTCAAGAATATTGTTAGAGTGGATAATATGCAAAAAGTGGAAATAATGTCGGGAATTATTTATCTGAAATGTGGACGTGGCGAGTTTTAAAAACTTCGTAAATTTTATTTCAATAAAAAATTTTTACAAAATCTTGTTTTCATGATTTGAAGATATTTCAAATTTTGAAATTCAAATAACTTTTTATTGAAACATGTAAGATTTTGAAAATTTTTAAGATTTGAAGATATTTCAAATTTTGAAATTCAAATAACATTCTATTGAGACATGCAAGATTAAAAGTTTATAACGGAAAAATAATTTGATCTCCAACACTTCCATCGTCTCCACTGGCAACCAGAGCCACCAGACCACTTGTTGATGAAGACGACGAGAACGTGCACACGCAGTAATGACCATCTTTCAATCGATATCCAGCTCTCAGGCATCTTCTTCCTTCTTCTGCATTTAATTAAATGAACTTCAACCGACCATATTTTTCATACATACATACATATTTAAAATAATTATAGCATGTATACTAAACTGACACACACATTTGTTATATATGTGTGTGTGTGTGTCTGTGTGGTATGCTGTGTGTGTGTTTTTTTGTGTGTGTAAGTATGTGTGTGTTTAAGTGTGTGTTATGTGTGTTTGTGTGTGTGTTTGGAAGACCAAATTATATGTTGAAGTTGTTCAATTGATTGAATGTAGAATTATTACCCAAATTAATCCTGCCGATAAGCCTATTTCGATTTTTCATAAATCATCTTCAGTGCAGTTTTGGTTTTTTTAGCTTCATGAACAGTGGAAAGGTAGTAGTTAATTAAAGTACCCAATGTTTTGGTGAACCTGCCAGCCACCTGGCGCAATTTTTTTCATCCGAAACATGAGCAAGTCACATAAAATTGATCTGGAAAAAACAAGGTGTATCTAACTATGTTCCAAAAATGACCTTGATTGCATTGTGATAATAAACAACAAATTTGATTAACTATGGGTTTATATTAAGTTTTGATTTTTTTGTCGGCTAGATGTTTGTCAACAGTAGTTTCGTTGCTTTGTGTTTCAAATTTGTATGCGGTTTTGAAAAAATTTTCAATTTTAATTATCGCTGGCTAAATAATTTAATAATAATAAATTTACTAATATATTTATATATATATATATATATATACAAAGCACACAAGTGCTTAACCAATCTGCAAATTATAACTAACAAAATTTATTGCAGAAAATGGAAAGAAGACAACAACACAGGCGCGTTCTTCACAAACAATGAGATGATACAGATAACATGCAATACAATTCATTCATATATTACATGGGAATAATGAATAGGTACTTAAAGGATAGGTGCCGTGCACACACGCAAATAAATATGTTTAAATAAGTAAATAAATAACTTTGTCTCTTTTATTTCTAAATATTTATAATAGTTATAATATGATATAAAGTTTTTTTTAAAATGGTTTTGTTTGTCTAACACTATTGTTGATGAAATTCACGATTAACTAAATCAGAAAATAAAACCTAAAATTTATTTTTCCTGCAAAGTCATTTCAAAAATTCTATTTAACGAATAATTTTTTTTCACTTGATAAACAACATTTTGTATTAAACAAACATGATGAAGAATAACGGTTTGAAGACTTCCATCCATGTTGCGATCTTGTTGATAATTCCATCATCATCCACACTCTGGACCTCCAGGCCAGCAACATTTTTGTTGCCACCAACACATCCACCCACTACGACATCAAACTCATCTTTTCCACAGCGACCTTTCCTACCTTATCCAACAATTTCTCCATCATTCCAACTGCCACCGACCACCACCGCCAGCAACATCAGCAGAACCAGCTGTCCTAACGACGAGATGTTCTGCTGGTTGGACTTGAAGTTCCTCGAATTGAACTCCACCTTCTCCCAGCACATAACATCGTACAGTGAGCAGTTTGAGGACATGCCTGATGAATGCAGAAAAGGTGGGTCTGCTATTTTTTCAATGCTTCATAACGAGATAAATATTTTCATAGCAGCTAGTGTGACATCTATTGTTGCTTAATGATAGCAAACAAGCGAAATCATAAAAATGTTTCTTTCGCAAGAGAAAATTTAAACGCACTCAGTCAAAAAAATCTTAAGTGCTAAATATAAGTTTGGAAACACATCATTTAAACTAACAGTTTGATTATTTTCAATTTGTTGGCGCAAACCGCATAATATAATAATATCATTATTTATCACCCCAACAGACCTGTGCAATAAACAGAACAAAAGCGAGCATGGCTCTGAAAATTATTTCTGGCCTGAAACATTGATAGGTTTGATTTGCATATTGTGCTAGCATTTGTCGAAACATACAAACACGGTTTACATTTTTAAAATTTGACAATTTGTTAGTTGTTTTTGTCTACACGGAATGATGCAATCCACTGTTGTCGTCGTTGTATGTGTCTCTGTATCTCTCTGTACGTGTGTATTGTTTTTTTAAAGATAGCATAATACGAAATGTGAGAGTCGAAGGCGAAACTGCGGCCAAAAAATGATGACGAACGATAGAACATCGATGAGTTAATTCGTTTTCTGTTTATACTTTCTTGATTGCCACCAACATAACCGTCCCTGAAGCTTTAGTAGCAATAGTCACAGTTGTTTCTCTTATTGCTAACAATAAACAATATTCTTTATATAAATATTTGGTGATAAGAGAAACAATTGTGCGTGCTACTGTCATCAAATAATGAAATACATTTTGTTGAGAACACGGCTCAATTTCATATTTCTGAAACTGCATCTTATCGAAAGGTTTGCCCAGAAGGCTGAAAATTTTTCTTGTGCCGATTGCGTTTTATGACAACTTGATTTAAATTTTTTAGATTTAGCGTTCATATTATTTTGTGTCTTTTTAAGTGCTTAAAAATGAATAAATATTGTCAGCAAATAAATTATTTAACATTTTTTCGTAATTTAAAAAAAAACTTAGCAGGCAGTCAAAATTGACACCTCACTCTTTCTTGTTGAGAGGATTTGGTGCCCATGAAAGATTCATTAAAACTGCGGTTGAAACTAAATTACATAATGAGCAATTGAATGAGAATCCAATTTGCTTGCTAGCGTCCTGGTCGCTAAGTGTTTTGTTTTTCTCAAGAAACGCGTTCTCTATTGAGATTTAAAGTTTGAAAATCTGGGAAAAGTTTTTAAAATCGCAATTCAAATGAGGCAAACAATGAAGAAGATTCATTGATTTGTACGGAAGCAGATCTGTCATTGTTGACACAAAGAAGAGAGAAATCTAAGCACCACCGCTAGATGTGGTTGCTTGGTATAAAAGCGATTCATTTCATGAAAACGATCATTTTTGAGTTTGACTAATTTTTTTATCAAAATTATAATTTATGGTTTCATTTGCAAAGTTAACTTCGATCATAAATTGTTATAATCAACTTCTGGAACAAGGAAATTCGCTTAACAAACTATATGATTGATTGATTGATTGAAGTTTTTTAACATCTTTTTACTATATTATGCAGTTCACCATTAAGCATAAAAAACATCAAAATGTATATTAAATAAAATTTCTAATTGCAGGTCATAGATATGTTCAAAAGTGCAAACACCAATACAAAGATCAGATGATTACCTTCTTCCCAGGCATTCCAAGCCACCATCAGTTGAACAACAACGGCTCTGAAATTGATGCGGTTGAATGGTTCTACATTGGTGACGTATTTGCAGGCGACGACATTAGAAGCAACAACTACTCCAAAAATATGAACAACAAATATTTATATCGAGATTGTCTGCTTTTTGAAGGGATTGCAACATGGCAGGATTCCACTCAACTTGGATGTCCAGTGAAACCGCTTTGGATGCAACATGATGTCATATTGGAATCTATCGAAGTAATTTGGACTGTTCGGTTTGGAATCTTTCAGTTTTATAATCGTTGTTATCGTTGTCTTGCATATTTGGCATGAAATACTATTTTATAGATTTAATTTTTATAATCTTTTTTTATGTTACTGAAAATAAAAATGATATCCGTAAAGAATCAAATGATTTTTGACAAAAAACATCTGAATCACTTTGGTGAAAAAGTCAATAATAAAATCTTAAACATGATAAATGTTTTTTGCTTGCTTTCGGTTTTATTTGATATTATTTTTTTTGTTGAAAAGCTCTTGTCTGATATGTAATACTCATTCTAAAAACATTTTCAATTATATCTAGATGAAATAATTGCATATAAATCATTCTTCATAAATGAATCGACCAGAAGCACAACAGGCACGTCACCTGCTTCTCCATCCTCGACTATATGCAAGCCATGCACAACATCATTCAGAGTACTGATCAACTGGACCCCTACGATGAAAACACTCTCACACTGCTTCCCCGTTTGGCATTCGGAAGTAAAAAAATGTTCTTCAAGTTTCAAATTTATTTGTTATTTTTTAGATACTAGATGTTTTCTAGAAATATGAAAGTTGGGACGTTGATTGACGTAAAACGAAAAATTAATGTTGACCAAATGGATTTCTACTGCAATTCATTCACATAGTAGCATGGGGCCAAACGCCGTGTTGGGTGACTAACCTTTCTTTAATTTGCACCCAAACAGTAGGAGACCAATTTTTTTTAAATCAATAAACATCTATTAAAAGTTTTTTTAAAATGAAAATCAAATTATTTTTAACTTCAAGTTAGTGAGGCAAATACAAAATAGAAAAATCAAGGTACAAAAAATGAGCCAAGTGTTCTTACAGCAATGAAATCTTGGAGATGACTTTGAAAATGGACAAGTTTCAAGTCATTGCACATACAGGAATAAATAGTAGACATGCCAAATTAGCAAAAAACAACATAAATCTTTGAAAAATAATTAGTTTGCTGACTGTAGTGACTTGCGAAACGTTAGCTGTGGCTTCTTTTCCCATCCTACTCCGTGTTATCCTACATCAGTTGATGCATTGCTTATATACAATATATACATATGACAATCTTCTCATGTAATATTACGCTTTTAATGTAAAGATAGATGATTTCTAAAAAGGTTATCAAATTTTTATTTTTCAACTAAAAAGTTGCATAACAGTATAAATTGTTTGATCTAGGTTTAAACTGTACGCTCCCAAACCATGGAAATGAACGAAATGCTATTCAAATTTGGCATCTGTTGGACTATGTCATTGACTTTAAATTCTTTCAGTTTTGGTGGCATCATCCAGATAAGTTTATAAAGTCAGTACAATTGAACCATTATGTTTAATACTGCTTTAACTATATTTTAACAAAGTACATTGAAAATGTTTTGATGGAATCATAATATATACAAAAGAATCGGTATGCATTAATTAAACATTTAAAATAAATTATTAAAAAATAATTTTCATTGCTATATTTGAAAAATATGTGATGTCCATTAATTTAATTTCACCGAATTTGTTAAGAAGTTTACATTTTTAAAAAATTTTGACTCAGACTCAACTGCCTTGAAACTCAAAAAACGTATTCTTATTAGTTTATCTGTTAGTAAGGTTTGTTTTATTCTCCTGGTTCGTCACTCACGTTGCGTTTCGAACAGGTGGTGAACCTGTTACAAAATTATAGATAATTTAATTCAATAACTTGCAAGTTTATTCAATCTGAGCAATTTCATCTCGGTTTATTGCACAGTTTATGAAAACAGTGACAAACAGTTTTTATAAATTTTTAAACACTATGAAAGACTCAACCGCAACATTTTCGGTATTTTTATAAAATTGTGAATTTAAAATATTCTAAAATTTAAACATTCACAATAAATTACTTTAGAATGATGGAAAATCTAGAATATTTCTCTATACCTGGCTATCGAAAGCAAATGAAAATCATCGGACGGGATGAAATAAATCAGCAGGTCAGTCATTTTCAAGAAATTGAAGCAAGGGACACATCATTTTTGAACCAACAGTCTGAACAGTTGCCCAATGGTAGGATCAGCCAGGATAAGGTACATCTTGAAGCAGATGACAACAAAACCGATAACATCCACATCGACAACGCCATCATCTACCAAAACTTGACGACCAGCATGGTGAGATTTATATTACGCAACCATGGGAAGCTACCATATTTAGACTACATCCAAGGCAACAACATCCAATATTTGTTCTCCATGTTTCCATCAGCAGACCGTTTCAGCCATCAGTTTTATAGGAAGGGCAAGATGTTGGCGCGTGTATCTTTCTCTTCCTCTGCATTTCACGGTTACAAATTCAAAAATTTATTAACAGCAGTAGATTTGTTAAAACTAAAATCTATAATTTTTGTGTGTGTTGACCGAAAAACTTTTATTGCAATTATTGTTACAATAAAAACATGCATTTTTATCGTTGCATCTGAGCACACTACAACAAAGCCCTTTTAAAAAAGTTAAACGAGAGAATGATTAACATTCTTGCCATTAAGAAAACAAACATAAATAATGTGCCTAATGATGCAATTTCAAGTGTTTGCGTGTAAGCAGCACGAATCGGATTTCTTTCGTACCTTCAGTTAATTTTTATAGATGGCTTTTATATTCTCTGAAAAATAAACAGTTTAGCTCAAAATATTTTTCGAAATTTTAAAATTTGGTTGATTATTTGCTTGAATAGTTACGAGTCTTTAACGAATTCTAAAAGTTTTCTATGGCATGACATAAACATCACGTAGACACGTCGAAAACATTTTTTTAGACCAAGTCCATTTAGGTAAATTAAAACTTTGATTTTAATCAACAAGCAATAAAAATAAACCGATCGAAGCAAAATTTTTCTGCGTTTTCAGTGGAAAGTTATGTCTGTGAAAAATGCAATTTTGAATACCATGCATTTGTGGTCGGCATCAAAGTAATCAAAAAAGTCATCAGAACTAACGAAATCCCGATTTCAATTATTTTCATTTTTCATTTCAATTTAATTCCAATTACAAATTTTGGTATACAGGTTTGCATCTGGTCTCTCAAAAAATGATGAATGGCTATTAAAACAAAAAACAACTTTTTCAATTTTATGTTGTGTTATTTTTTTATATCTGATGACCGGAAAAGTGTACTATGCTCAAAAGAGGAGACTTAATAAGTTGGAAGTTGCCAACAAACCAGAAATTATTAAAAAGTTATTTCATCAACTTTATAGCTCTAACAAAGTTTGTAACTTTATCAACATCTTTGACAACCAACAGACAACAGAAAATTAGAGGTCCGATGTTTCTTGCTGACCAGCGAAAACTTGCACGTCGTGGGTTACCCATCATACAATCCAAACTACACGCGTCTCTACAGCCAGTTCTTGGCGTCTGGCACCATGAAGAAGGTTTTTAAACTTTTTTCGTTTGTAGTATTTTGTGTATGACTTAAGCAGAACTCTTTCTTAATTAAAAAGCCACCAACTACACTGTAATAACAACATCATCTAATTTGATCATTGCTCCTATTGAATGTATATAATTTTTCATATTTTGAAATACAAGAAATTTGTAATTAGAGTATTATATCGAAAAAATTAGAACTGTAATAGGAAGTTGAGCAGCAGCAGTTATGATGACGTCAGCATGAATTTTAAAAGCACCGATGGGGATGGATACGAAAATTATGAGAAAAAAGCCAACATGAGAATCCACGGCGCCGATAATTTGCCTGTTCGTAATCTCAACAAAAGTTCGTTGCAACCAATTGTTCACATTTCAATCTCATTATCATTGATATCATTTTCATTGTTTATTACTACGGAATGAAATTTGAAAATTTTTTATTCAATTTTGTTTAATATTACTAAAATATAAAAGCTGTTTGTTATTTGCAATTTTTTTAAATATTTACTCATTTTAGATTTTTTTAACTTTTAAATTTTCCGATAATTAATATAAGCACTTTACCAGCGTTCAATTGAAGAGCTTGAATGTCATCATTCTGTTGCATTTTGAATTCACAACAAACAGTAAATAAACACCACTTGCACCTGTGCCTGCATCTGCCTAATGAATCAAACACTTGAACGCTGCTTAGTCAGAGTCGATGAAACAGATATTTACGATGTTTCAAGTTTTAAGACATTAACTTTTTCTACTCTAAATTGTTTGTTTGTATAAATGAGTGCCTATGTTAAACTGTTGAAACTTTCTCCAGCCAACACCGCTGATCAACTCAGCAACTCATCGGGCGACGATGTTGCTTGCGACGATGTTGCTTGCGACGATGTTGCTTGCGACGATGTTTCACACTACCTGAATGGCAGTTATACAATAAGGTATGGCTTTCTGACATGCCAACGTTATGAATGTTTGATTGAAATTATGTGTTGATGTTTTTTCTACATATAGTCACCACAAATGTTTGATTGAAAGTTTGTGGTAAAAAGTGTAACTGGAATGGGGATTCGATAGAACATGATTAAACTTTTAGCAATTTATGGAATGACGTTTGAATTAAACCGAAAGTTGAGCTTTTTATAAAAGTTCAAAGTTGAATTTAAAAGTGTGGATGATTTATTTATCATATAAATGAAACATTGTAGACTGCGAAACAATTTAATTGTTGATTCTTATCAACTGTTTGTTTATCATTTTAACTACATCACCAAATTAAGATCGTCCTCAATCCTATAATACTTCATCGCTTCCATCAACAAATATTACATAGCTAACTACAAGCTGTCAAATTTCTTGTCACGTAGATCGTTTAATTAATTGATATAATATTGAAAGACATTAAAAAAAGAGAAATAAACTTAGCAACGTTTTTGACTTGTTTATTATCAACCGGAACAACAGAAAAGGAAAAAGTGAAGTTACATACAAAGCAAAGAACCTTTGGTCCAAAGAAAATAAATGTATATCATAAATCATAATGTTTTAAAATAAAACATAAAACTTAACACCTTCTCATTTTGTTTAAAACATTAGTCGACCTTAACATAAATGTTCTAAAGACCCATCCCTTTGAATGGCAACTTTGTAGCTCTCTGGTTCAAGTACTTCACATAATGCAGACATAACAAGAGGATCATAACGAGATGGCTTTTTGATATCATTCCTGTCACGTAAAACCATACCTTTGGTCTTTTGATTACAACAATCAGATTGATCTTCTTTATCAGATGAAACTGAACTACGGTTGTGAACATCTTCATCAGTTGATATACTTTCTTCAATCAAAGTTTCTTTATTTTCATCTTTGATTTCAACATCAATCGAAACTGTATCATCTGAACAACTTTCTTTATGCAAAATCACTAAATTTGATTTGACAACCTTCTCATCAAAAATAACATCTTTTGATCGAAGCATTTTATTTCCTGGTTGAACAAAAATTCTGTAGCCATCGTCACCTTCATACCCTTTACAGCTTTAGCATCCATTTTACGTCGTTTCTGCATAGGAATATGAACATAGGCTTTGCTACCAATGATTCGTAGATGTGTTATCTTAGGTCTCTTGTTAAACCACACTTCATACGGTGATTTTCCTTCTACAGAAGATGGTCCAGTTTGGTTGAGTATGTAAGCAGCAGTATTAATTAATTCAGCCCAAAGGGCCTGAGGCAGTTCTTCATGAGCCAGTCTCATGGCTCTTGCTGCTTCAACTAGCGTTCGATTATTACGCTCACTGCATCCATTCTGCTGAGGTGTATAAGGCATAGTTAAAAGCAAAAAGGACCACATACATTTGTGTAAATTAATTCTCCTGGTCTTGATGCTCTTACTCGAGTTCCAAATTTCAATCGATGTAACTTTCCATAGACACATCCTTCACATAATTCACAGTCTACAGGTATAACGATGTTTAGTTCACGTTTCATGACCATTTTAACATGTTTCTTATTCTGATGTCCCATTCGTTTATGGTATAGCTGCAATGCATCTTGATCATTGACAAAGTTAACTTCAACTTCAGAATTCAACGGTCTAACAGTTTTTGCAACAAGTTTGAACAAACCTCCATTGTTGTTTCTTATTCCAGCAACATTTATTACATTGTCAATAAGTAGATGACAACTTCTTAAGGTTGAAATAAAAGAGCTATTTTGTTCTTATCTTGAGTTGCTAGTGCTGAGAATAAATTTCTTTTTACTTTTGGCATATACTAGACATCTGTGAGTTTAACAGTTTGCCATTTATTATTCACTTTCACTTGAAGATGAATAATTCCTTTTCCAAAAGCTTTTACAGCATCACCATTTGCAACATATAATTTACTCGGTTGAAAAAATTTTTCAAAACTTTGAAATATGTCTCTTCGGAAAGTTAGATGACACGTTGCACCATTGTCAAAAAACCATTCATCAGTGTACGCTGACTCATCACTTGCAAAAACACTTGATTCCATAACAACTAGTGACTCATTGTCATCACATAGATTGTTATTTCTTGGTTTCACTGGTCTACCATCAGAATGCCATTTTTCACAATTTCTTACAAAGTGACCTGGCAATTTGCAATAATGACATATCAGCTGCTTTGGTTTGCTGACAAATTTATCTTGTTTCTGACCTTTCATGTCTTGAGATGACCTTTAAGTTGTTGCTTGGACAAATAATACTTTATTACTTTCAGTTTTGCCTTCCAAAGATCTCTCATAGCTACACAATTGATCAGTCTTGTTCAACAATCTCCAACTTGCAAAAAATGAAAAATATTTTTCTGGCAGAGTTTCAATTATCTGACACATCAGCAACAAGTCACTGTTTTCATCTTTTCCTAACTCAACCTTTAAATCTTTCCAAAGATTCTTTAGTTTTGTAACATGAGTGACAACATCATCACTTTCATCCATTTTATAACTAAAGAACTTCATGCATAAGTTGTATGCTTTATCTTCATTAACCTCATCATACAATCTGTAAAGTTCTAACCAAACATCTCTGGCATTACTGAATGAACGAACTTTTTCATGCTGGTTGACAGAATAATTATAGCACTACAATCTGCTTTATTGAACCTGTTCAAAGCAGTTTGATATTTTGCTCTTATCTTTATTTGAGTCATCGTTTAATTCATCTGAAACTTTTAATTTGCCATTTATTACGTCCTTTGCATCAGGAATGCCGCGTAGTATTATACAAACTCTCGAATTCCAGTACAACCAACTACTTTTGCCTTCTAGGTGATTGATTTGCACTTTTGTTAGATCCATTTCTTCCTTGTCTTTCAATTTGACCTTTTAATTAGAAGAAGCAAAATATCGACTTCCAGAAAATGAAGAAGCACGTGCTTTCTCTTCACTTTAGTCTTCAAAAAGGAATCTTCTGATATTTCTTTATTCTAAATTTTGTTCTTCGTCAAATCAATTAATTAACAAAAACGTTATCTGGGCCCATAACCTGTTAAATTTCTTGTCACGTAGATCGTTTAAATAATTGATATAATATTGAAAGACATTAAAAAAGAGAAATAAACTTAGCAATGTTTTTGACTTGCTTATTATCAACCGGAACAACAGAAAAGGAAAAAGTGAAGTTACATACAAACAAAGAACATTTGGTCCAAAGAAAATAAATGTATATCATAAATCATAATGTTTTAAAATAAAACATAAAATTTAACACAGGCTCCTGGTTAGAATTGAAATTCGTGAGGATGGTTAAAGATGAATGGTCTTGTTTGTAGTCACTTTACTCAAATGCTAAAAATTTTCAGCCTCTTAACGCGATTGTGTGAGGTGTGGTTTTCTCATAATCTGTCTTTAGGCAATGTCTGTTTATCATTGAGACCCCTGAATTAAATATATTGTAAAAAAAATTTATCAGCACTATCATATCATAGCAGTCATTTAGCCCCATTCACACCATCACGAACCAATTTTCGCATCAATTTTCGTTATTGTAACTGATGACACTTTACATCAAGCCTGGTCAGTTTGTTGGTCTTTGTCGATGTTACAAGTTTCGGGTACGATGGTGTCACTGATACTAAAAACAATGAGGTCAATGTCACGGTCGAGTTCAGCGACAGTGAAACGGTTAATTCAATTCGAAACTATTGAATCTGTATTTTATGTATTTTATATTTACTTTGTACGAATCACTCAACTACATCTGCTTACTTTGATATGGTTTCTACTAATAATTTACTGGCAATATGTTGCTTTATTTTTATTTGCAATTTTATTTTCACAGAAAAAAGATTCTTCGACAATATTTTGTGGACTCTATCCATTCAATCTTCGAGGCAGCACTGAGGACAGGACAGCCGTTGTCAGTCCGAACTTGTTCAATTCCACTTTGTGGCAGTTCGATTGCGATGTTGATTTCTCGGACGTTTTTGTTACCTGCTCCTGCCATCGAACAGGATTCATCGGGCTCTTTCAAATTAAAAAAAATTTTAGTTTTTTTCATTTTTTTTTTTATAAAAAATTTTGAAAAATAAATGCTACATTATTATCCATGGGTACATTGCTTACCTGCATGAGAATAGAAACAGCTAATGTAGCTATCGTCAACAAGAGAAAAAAGCTGTAAAATATAAGTTTAAAGATGACTAAAAAGTAAAAAAAGGTAAAAACTGAATTTTTTTTCCATTAAATTGAAAATAAAAAGAGGAACTTCACGTTGAACAACAAACTAACAAAAATGAAAAAAATTCAAAACTCCAAATACACACTGAAACTATAATATATTTGAAATAAAACATGTGAACAAAAATTTAGTTGCCGAGATGATTCATATATTGAAATTGTCCTCTAATTGAAGAAAAATCTATACACACACATGCACGATATACCTAGCAGGCTTTTTACCAGTTCATATTTTTAGAATTTATAATTTCAGTTCATAATTTAAATTTTTTTTTAATATTTAATCTTCAACTGCAGATGACAATGATTTTAAGCGACTCTTTCCCAGTAACTCGCTCAGACATATCTGTGTTTCTGGTAAATTAGTTTCATGAATAAGTTTATTAGTTAAATACAATTTTTATCTAAATTTTATATCAATCTTGAAATTTTTAACAAATCATACACATTGCGAGCAGTAACTATCATAATATTTATTTTCAAACCGCCCAGAACTTTCCATACATTCGAGAGTTGAACTTGATAGCAAGGCTGATGAGAATAGTTTCGATTGTTGCACTCGTACTGACCATCATCACATACGCATTTTTCAGGTTTTTTAACAGCTGCAAAATTTAATTTTGAAAACAAATATTTATTTAACACTCATCATCATAATTTTAAATAAAGTAAAATAACAACAGCAAATAGAAAAACGAATTTGAACTGTTCAAATTAATCATTTTAAGGAAAACGCGCAAAGGGACTGCAAGTAAAATCCTAACAAACTTGTGCGTATCTCTCATATGCTTGCTGCTGGTGCTCAGCGTGGCTGACTGCAGGTGCTCCATCAGGAAGGAATGCTGGATCTACAACGTACTCAGGTCTGGGTGTGTTGTGAAACTGCAGCTGTAAAGTAATATTGTTCAGTAAATGTTATACATAGCATTTTTTACAACAAAAAACTGGTTCAATTTTGTTATTGATCTTTTTTTTATGTAAAAAGACCAGCTTTCAATTGGTAGTGCCGACATAACATAACGGGTACTGTCAGTTTTTGTAAACTTGTGCCTGCAAGATAAAAAAAAATGAGATGAGCATAGCCGTTGAGATGTTTGACTCAGCAAGCATTTGAACCACTGAGCCATCTCGCTCTCCAACATGCGACCACTTACGTTGTCTCCCCGTTCACCGACCTCGGAAGATGAACGGCTGGGTTGGCCGGGGGTCATCTATTCGGATGAACCTACAGAAACTGCAGGATTCGAACCCGGGTCGTTGAAGTAGTAGACGGACACGCTAACTACTCGGACACGAGACCCCTTAGGGGTTATTTAGTTTTGATAATTATTTATGACATTTTATAAAACCGTGGCATGATGAATTGAAAACTTTTTACCTGTCCAGATTTAATAAATAAAGTTCAAAATTTAATCAAGTAGCCCAACTCTTAAAAATTGGTCAGATATTATTTCGTGCTGGTGTCGCTGATGTGGAATGGAGTGGAGGCGCACAACATGTATCGCATGTTGGTGGTGGTCTACAACAGTCACGTCAGTCACTTCATTCTCACCTCAGCTATCATTGCTTGGGGTTGGTTCAATGAAATGTTTTTTAATATTTAGACGAAACGGAATAATGATGCATATTTTCAGGTGTCCCTTTCGTACTTCTCTCAACCATCTTGGTCGTAGACAGAACAGCTTTCTATGGCTATTACCAAGATTGCAAATTCAGGTGGCCACTGTTTGACATACTTTTGTAACTTTGTTTTAAATTTGGTAGATGTTTGATTTTATAATTTTTTGTTTAAAAATCAGTTTGCTCTTAAATTTTGAACGTTTGATTTGAATGGTTCCAACTCAGATGCGGTTTGAAGGACAACACACTTTATTATGCCTGGCTGTCCCCGATGTTAGTCATAATCATCCACAATATTGTCATTTTCACCATGGTCATGAGAGTCTTGTTCACCAATTCACCTAAACTAAACAAAAATGGTGAACTATTTTTATTACCAACTTTATAAATAAATTTTTTTATCTTAATTTTTTGAATACCTTTTTCGTATAAGAGGATTTGCGGAAGCAAGTCGTAAATTCTTACCCTATATATATATATATATATTTATATATATATTTATATATATATATATATATTGAGACGAGGTTTTTGGCATTGAATAATTTTGACCACTAATTAACTTTTTGAAAATACATTCAGTGATATAGAACTGTATTTATTTAGAACAAGTGACATAATTTGGCCAACATCGTTGTTTCGGTGTGAACACCATCTTCAGAGTCTTGAGTAAAACGCTGATATTACTATAAATGTAAATGTAAACCAAATAAAAAAAATATATATATATATTATTAAAGATTACCTACTCGTGTGTGTGTGTAATGAAAAAAAATTATGTCTGATAACTTAAAGATCAGGAGAGAAAAAGTTACAGATCTCGGTTGGTTGGAGCTCTCACGTTGTTGGTCCTGCTGGGTGTTCCATGGATTTTGAGTGCATTTGGAGCTATCAAGAATGAAAGTGGTGATTCGGTTGAGATTTTCAAAGGAATTATTGCGGTGGGTTTTTAACACGAAATTTGTCAGCATATTTATTAATGTTATTGTTATAAGCTCCAAAATAGGTTATTCATTTTGTATAAGTCATCCTTGAGTGCAAACAAATGTTGATATTATTTTAACACAATTTTTGAACATTTCTAAGAATGAAAACACTATTATCCAGTTGATTAACCAGTTCAGGGAGTTCAGTTCAATTGAAAAAAAACCTAAAATCGTAAAATTTAAATAGAACCATGGAATATAATAATTTTTTTATTTTTTTGTTCAATTAATTCCAGAATGATATTTTGAAAACTTGGCATGCAGATAATCCTGGTGACATTCATCAGCTTGCAAGGACTGTTCATATTTTTGTTCCACTGTGCATGCAACAGATCTGTCCGTAACGAGTGGAGTAGTTCCATCAGTTGGAAGGATTCAATATTTAAAAATACAAATTTCACCACGGCAACCAGCTCAAATACTAAAAACAGTAAGCACCACAACTCAGAATCTAAACAAACTAGGATAAGTTCCAAATAAAAACCATGGCATCAGTCACAAAACGTTCTTTTCTATTCATATTCATTACTGAACTGAAACAGGCCACGATGGAAGATTTATAGAAAGTATCAATTTTTTTTTGAGAATTTTCCAAAAGTTTGGACAAAGGTGCACATAACATAATAGTATGCATCTAGATGGCAAAAATACTGTCTTCGACATATTTATACTCGAATAATGTACGTGTTAAATGTTAATTATATATATTTTTTTCTGTGTTTCAAATATAATATTCCATTTAGTTGTCATTTAGTAATATTGTAGTTAACATTGGATGTTAAATGTTTGCTATAATTTTCACTTGTAATTAAAAAACCATTTGCATTCCCATTGTAGGGTTCATATTATCCGTAATTTGCCTAATCCAGATAAGCTAAACGTCCTATAGGAATTGAGTCTTGCAATTTCGACATATTTGATATATTGAAATTTGAGCAGCCATTTAAAATTTACACAAAAGTCTATGCAACCTAACTTTCCAACATGTACACAATAAATTATGCCACAAATTCTTCCGGATTATGAAACGTAAATCTCTTGTTTTCCAGTTCATATTTCTACATAATATTTTAATTAAATATAGCTCGATTAATGGTTCAACACTCTGTCTGAAACTTGAAATGCATTTTGTATAGATGTCATAAATGTTTTAAATTAAGGACGTGAATAAATAACATTAAAAATTATTATAGAGAAAAAAAGGTTTGCTGTCATATTGAAAATAAATTTGTGTTTTACATTATACTTCAATTAAACACAAATAATGAGACATCCAATTGTCGGGTTTTTTGATGGCTAGCTTGTACACAACGTTTAATGCTATTTGCTGCAGCGAATCTGCCACTATAACACGAAATGATGTTACATTCAAAGAAAAACACAAAAATATGAAAAATTACCAAATGTTGAAAAAGACAGATCAGAAATGGTCTCACTCAGTAACTCCTTTCTAATTGAGCAATTTAATTTTTAGTTCACAACGAACACTGAATTTAGATAATAATTACAAAATGATTTAAGTTTACCTAATTACTGTTAAATAAACACCTCAGTATAAAATGAATCATTACATTTACATGAATGAATGTATGAAGTAAAAACTACAAACCATAGAAAGCTGGGTTATTGTTTGTAAAGGGTCTGCATATGCTCAAATGTCAGTTTATAAGGTGCCAGGGCGACGAGTTATTTCTCATTCTTCAATTAAAAAAGCTTTGGTTTTAATGGAAGTTTAGTGAATATATATCCTAAGAAATTCATTGTTCAAATAAATTAAAAAAATAAATAAAATATTCAAATACTAACATTTGTGAATGTGATTGTTTATTTTTAAATTCTGTCAGTTTAATATCTAACTAATATCTAAAATATTCATATACTAACATTTGTAAATGTGATTGTTCATTTTTAATGTCTATCAGTTTAAAATCTAACTTAGGCGCTTATATTCAACATAAGAATTTCGCTGATTTAGAAAAATGATAAAATACATTTAGAAAAAGTTTCATCATTTAAAATTGGTTTAAATTTAGTTTTGGTTTTGATTGAAGTTATTCAAATATTCAAGATTAAATAAAAAAAAGTTACGAAACGTACTTGAAAATGAATGTTAAATCCTACAAATGGATTGCTCTATAATTACGATAACCATGAACACTCAATAAAATCAATTAATTATAACATAATAATTCATTCAAAAACTTTGTTATTTGTCATAAAATGAAAACCAAAGTAATAAAATTTAATCACCTGACATATCTTATACATATAAGCATTAAATAAATAATCAATAACACACACACGTATATATATATTATATAAATACATATATTTACAGAAAGAGAGAGAGAAAGGGAGTGAGAGAGAAAGACTATATATATTTTTTCTGTTTACAAAGGCGCGTGATGTGATGTGAGATTTGTAATTGCGTGTTTACACAGCGGTTAATGAATGAACTCGCAGCCGTCAGCTACGTTCGTTTTGTGGTCCTCAACTAAAAATGTTTTTTTCTTTGTAGAAACATTCACAACCAGCATCACTTGATTTGAAGAATATGAATTTACGATGAATCTCTTTTAATAAACTGTTATTTGCTGCACTCTGGGACATTACTAAAATGTTAAAATGTACAATAATATAATATACACCTTTACAATATTGAAAATTGATGTACAATATTGTGAATTGATGTACAAAGTTTCCATTTAAATATAGAAAGCATGTTGAAGTTTGTTTTACTAACCGCTTCTACAAACATGATGAAATTAGTTGTGTTGGTTTCATCATTGATGGATTTAAACTCGGCAGTCTCACAGTTGCCACTGATTCATAAACTGCCATCATTTACGAGCAGCGCGCCTCCAATCGTTTCAAGAAACTCTTCGTCATTTAGCCTGCCTGGCTTACATTCACCTGCAACTTACGAAATCGTCGTCGTAGATGATTCATCGCTACAACCACAGCTGCCACCGACCACCACCGCCAGCAACATCAACAGAACCAGTTGTCCTAACGACGAGATGTTCTGCTGGTTGGACTTGAAGTTCCATGAATTGAACTCCAGCCACTCACGGGAATTAACATCGTACAGTGAGCAGTTCGAAGGAATGCCTGATGAGTGCAGGAGAGGTGGGTTCATGCGCTCTTCCTAAAACTATTCTGTCTTTTTGTGGCTATATATTTCAATTAATATTTAATTACGTAGCATGCAATTTTTTATTTAATTATGAATATTTAGGCCTTTAGTAGGCAAACATTTTAAGCTAAATGTTCAAGAATCGATTTCTGAAAGTTTTGTAGTAGCATTGATTTGAATTTCTTACAAGAGAGTTAGAAACATTTATTAAACTTTTGATCAAACAAAAAATTCACGAATATAATTTTCAAAAAAAACTTTTATAGTTTAATTTTGTATGCAATCCATTTTTCCGAAAGTTGATTCGTAATAAAGATTCAAGTTATTAAGACTTTACAAGATGAATTGACCACCAATAAACATTTGCAACGATGGGACGACAGATTATTGCAACGAGACTGAAACCTTGACAAGCGAGATTGGAGACTACACATGGCCCAGAACACTCGTCGGTTGGTCTTTGGTCTGTTCTCTATTAATTTATGAAACTTACAATGATCAACTTTTTTATACTTACTTAATCTATTAAATTATTTTATTTGTATAATTTTTCTGCAGTAATTATTTGAAAATAATAGTTCTTATATTCGTTGATAAGTTTTACAGATTGGTTCAAATTCAACCTATTTTGTTATGTTCTGTTGAATTCATGTGATGAAAAACTTTATATTGGTTCAAAAATAAAAAAATATGTTAATTATTTTTATGAAGAATTTTTCACAACACTTTTATTAAGTAAGGTATAAATTATGTTTTATATTTAAACTTTAAAAGCATTTAAACTTTGGCCGTCCGGCGATACTCAATCAATGCGTCAACAGATTTTTCCACATTCGAAACAATTTTTAATGTCAATCACAATCATTAGAGATGGAAGAGGAAATTTATTCCAACAAGTTTAAGCAAAAATACTTAAAAAAACTAACAAATAATTATTTATTTATGCAATACCCTTCAAAAGCGTTGAACTTTGAGTCAAACAATTATGTATTAAAATAAAAAAATGTAGATAATTTGAAAATTTTCTTTACGTTGTCTAAATAAAATCCAATCAATGAAAATACACACATTAAAAAGAGCTTTGTTGAGACTGAGAAACACTCACTCCATCATCAACAAGTGATGAGCGAGTGATTATAGACAGCTTGATTAGCGCGAGTTAGTAGATCGGTCGATAAGCATATGCTGTTATGTTAGAGTGGCTGTGCGAGGCAATAAAGCACGTCAACCTACATAGGCGGAATTCAATAAGGTCGCATAATATTCAATTCAATAAGGTTCACTTAACGTCAGCATATTCAAACTCATTTTACACTGAGAAATGGAAGATATACTTTCAACATTTACCTGTTTGCCTCATTCACAAATTCAATGATGCGAAAGCCAAACGTAACTCTAAAGTTCAATTATAATTGTAATTTGAATGTAGCTGGAGTTGGTTATTCGTATCAATGAACAGGGCAAGGTTGCCGATGACATGGAAATGAATATATATATATATATATATATATATATATATATATATATATATATATATAGGTTATTCGTATCAATGAACAGGGCAAGGTGGCCGATGACATGGAAATGAATATATATATATATATATATATATATATATATATATATATATATATATATACATATATATATATGTTGGCAATAGACCATAATTTTTACAACATAAATTTTTAAATTTTTTTTTTCGAAACAAAACGAACTACAAACATATTAACGCCAAACATTCGGTAGAATTTATAGAATATTGTAATATATATATATATATATATATATATATATATATATATATATATATAATATTAAAGATTAGAAGACGTATCTATTTTCCCGATGATTCCACCAGACGAAAGCAGCGCCTTTGAGTTGCATTAAAGGGCGCTATATAAATTCTAATAATAATATATAATAATATATTTAATTATTGAAATCGATCGCTGCGATAACATTATTCAATTTTTTTCACAGCTCTTTCAAAATTTCTTATTACCGTTTTATCATTAAAATTTAATAAATTCATTAGATTTCCTAAGTTCATGTCAAATAATTTGATTCGACGTTTCGAAACAAACTTATGTTCTCACCAGTAATGAATTAAATGTGAACTGTTTAGCATGTAAAGTATTTAATGATTACTTTGGTTAATAAAGGATTTTTATCGGCCTCTTTGTTGTGTGGCTTGGTTGATCATTTGGGATGGCAAGCTAAATAATTACTTTATTTGCTTGCTTATGGTAGGCTCTTTGCTTTTGATGTACAATGTATTGAAAGAATTAAGAAAAAAATGAATAATGTTATCGCGTCGATCGATTTCAATAGTATATATGTACAGAGAGATATACGTTAAGAACAGTTTGAAATTAAATTTAAATGCAGGTCAAAGATATGTTCAAAAATGCAAATATCAAAACGGCAATGGCCTCATCAAATTCTTCCCCGGCAATTCAAACTACAAGGGACATAACGATAGCTCCAAAGATCGTCTCAAAGTTTCAAACAACATTCCATTTTTTATAGGCGATGTCATCTCAAATAGTACAGTCTTCGGCTTCAAAAAACAATTCAGTAAATTTTCAATAGCTGCTTATGCAGAAAACAACATCCGTAGAAACATCAACAGCAGGTACGCTTATCAAGATTGTTTGTTGAGCGGGAACGGTGTAATTAACATATTCTGGGGTCAAGTTCAACAGTCTCAATGTCCGAGAAATCCGTACCTGGTAGAAAGTGCTCTCATTATGGAATCGTTGGAGGTGAAGTTTTCATGGAAGCTTCTTTTTCATATGTGTCCTTTTTTGTAAAACTTGTTTCCTTTTGTCAGCAGTTGTAACTGAACTACTTTCTGGCCTCGACCTCATTCAATGATAAAAATTTTGAGTGGAAAAATATTGTTCCGTGATTGAACAATACACATGCATTTTAATATTCACTTTTGAAATCTAAAACGTTTTGAATAATTTTTTCATTATACTATCTACTGTCTTATCTATTTTATTGCTTTATAAACCTGTTTTATGACATTCCACTT